TCATTGGTATCATACAGAGGAATTAAATATGGTACCATGACAACACTAATCTGGAGGGGGTTCATCTGCAAAAACTAATGAAAAACTAAACAACGTTATTCGGTATTCAGTACTTGGTATTAGGCCAAGCGTTTAATATTATTCAGCTTCGGCCACAAATTTTCATTTCGGTGCATCCCTAATTAATGCATCAAATTAATGTGTTGCATATATAATGGGTACATATATTTAAAAAATCTCACAATTAAGTGTAAATCAATCAAAACTATAAAGTATTCCCACTAAATAAGTAGGTTTGATCCCTTGAGTACACATAAATCAATACATGAAATAAGATCAGTGATTAGTTTTCTCTGACAGGAGAGATGATCAGAGGTGCAGAGTTTCTATTACCATAATGAGGACCAGGACAGAGGAATGGGAAGAGTCTCACAGTGAAGGAGCAGCCAGTATACGTGTAGATAAGAACTGCAGAATCTGTGTCATAAAAGGAGACCAGACCTTCATCGTAATCCACAAACACTCCGACCTTCTGAGGATGAGACCTCAGAGAGAGAGTGACTGAAGGGCCAGCAGCAGCTTTGTACTCATTTCCATTTTTCAAACCTACAGTCCAGTAACCTTCTGCAGGGCCCAGTGTGATTTGGCCCTTCCTGTTGATAGACTCTTTGGCCACTCCGAAATACCATTCAATCTTTCTTTTAACTTGAACCTCGTAGTAAAATTTTCCTGAAGAGAAATGCTGTTTTCCTAAAACACAGGCACCGAGAGAAAATCTCTCTGGATTGTCTGGAAGAAATTTCATTACCTTACCGTGGCGTACCTGTTTGCCATCATCAGAAAGGATGAGTTCAGCTTGTGCTGTATTAGGATCAAGAGTCACGTCCACTGCATACTGCTGGACCCTCTTCAGCTCGGCTTCCAACACCTGCCTTATCTTTTTATTGAGTGCCTCCTCCAGCTGAGCTACAGCTCTCACTGCAGTCCCCTCATATGATGGATGGATACTGATCTCTGTCCAGTCCTTGGTGGGCGGTGGATGGTGGGTGTTTAGGGACTGGACACTCTGGAGAAGATGGAGGTGGTCTTCATTGTGTGACAACTGCTCCACCTCAGTGCTTCTCCTCATCAGCTCAGAGATTTCGTGTCCCAGCTCCTCGATGAAAGCTTCAGCCTGTTTCTGTGTCGCTGTCCGCTTCTCTTCTATAGTTTTGACGAGCTCATTCAGGTCTCTCTCAACAGACTCCTTCAGAGAAGTGAAGACCTGAACACCTTCGGCTTTCTCTTTGTCTGCGTCCTTCTCACTGAGCTCGACTGAGTTTTTGATCTCCTGAATTTTCTGTTGTCTCTTCTGGATCATCTGCTGAATTTCAGCCTCCAGCTTGGCCTTCTTTTCTTCATATTCCTCTTTCAGAGGAACAACGTCATGCATCTTGTGGTCTAACACAGTGCAGAGCATGCAGACACCTGTCTGGTCGGTCTTACAGAACAGCTCCAGAGGCTTATTGTGCTTCGTACACATTCTGCCTTCCAGGTTCTGAACAGGGTCGATTAGCTGATGTCTTTTCAGACATGAAGCTGTCAGATGAGGCTCCAGGTGAGTCTGACAGTAGGAGGCCAGACACACCAGGCAGGACTTCAGGGCTTTCAGTTTGGTTCCAGTGCAGACATCACAGGGAACTTCTCCTGGTTTCGACTCTTCGACACTTTCAGTGCTCACTTGCTCTGAGCTGCTGCTGCTGGCTTTACTTTGAGCTGACTGTCTGAACTGAACAACCATCTCAGAGATGAAAGTGTTGACATGCAGCTCGGGTCTGGTGGTGAAAACCTTTTTACACATTGGACACAGGCACTGGTCATTAGTGTTCCAGTGTGCATTGATGCAGTTTTTGCAGAAGTTGTGTCCACATGATGTGGTGACAGGATCAGTGAACACGTCCAGACAGATGGAGCACAGAAACTGATCTTCTGGCGGCAGATACTTTGCAGCAGCCATATCTACACAGGTAGTGTGACAGAAAAGAAAAACATTTTATTTAAAATACACATTTAATTATTTGTTTAAAAGGAAAGAAGTACGATTATGTTTTTTTTTAGTATACCACGATGTTTGTTAAAGTAGGCTGATCTTGAATAATAACTGCTGTGAATTGCACCAAGCAACGTTATGCAAGATTTGGTGCCCCGACAGATTCAGAGTGGTACCCCAGTGTTGTGAATACATCACGCCTGCTGCATGGCAAACTGTTCAACCTGTCCTTACATAAGTTGAAGTGATTTCCGAACGCTAACAGGAAACCGACAACAGTGTGTACATCCCTGCTAATATTATAATGTAAGATTGTGACGCAGGCTGTAACTTTATCAGTTTCATCCTTCTCTCACAGAGTCTCATGGACAGCTGTGCACGTGCATTTGCTGACAAGCTGAATGATTTTGGAACCTGCAAATATGATGTCAGAAGCTTTAAAAAAACAACGTATATATGCTTCATCACTCAACATCCTCTTGAAAATTCCAAGCTAGTTTCTTCTTTTTTTTTTTTAATCCTCATTTCAAATAGTCGACATACATAGTGGCAAAAAAAAACATCAGAATTACATACAGATGAAGCACTGAGAAAACAAAATGAAAAGCAGCGCCAACTAGCTGAGTTTGCTAGTGTCATATGCTTTGGTAATCCAACCTGCTCAACACAGTTACTTACTGTATTGCAGGAACACACATTCAGGGTGCTGAGTGGGAATGACAGATGCACCATTTTTCTTATTACATGTCCGTGTACCATTGCAATGATGTCAAAGCTGTTATTAAAACGTAAATTTTGCAATTCTTTTTCTAAAGCTGTGCTCACTTGATGACAAACACTGTGTATTTCCTCTAGCTGATTCACATTACCAGTCTCCGAATGGTTCAGGAAGCAGTACGTAGAAGGTGATAAGCAAACAGTGATAAAAGCAGGAAAGTAGGAGTGGAACGAAACTCTAAACCAGAGATTCAGTTAAAAGTTAGTCCTGAGAGCTGAAAAGGAGGGGGACTGTTAAAAGCTATTAAAGTGGGCTACTGCATAGTGGGCCGGTGCACAGACGGCCATAGTGGAACGTCCTGCCTGAGCAGAGCTGCAGTTTTATGTTAATCTTGGTCGTTTAAACTCAGGATGTCAGCTGTACTCACTGGTGTTTAGCAGCTGCTGTGTTGTTGATAAAGACCCGATGAACTTGGCTGTTTGGATTTTCTTTCAAAGGGAACCAGAGACTTGTCTTGACCTCAGCGTGGCTGCCACTCCGACAAACTTAAGTTTCATTTCTGGGGTGTGACATTGAGGCTCTCCTCTCCGATGTTGGTCCTCCTCTTACTGGAGCTTTGCTGGTTAGGTTTCGTTTCCCCTCTAACTCACTTGGTTACTGGGAAGCCCTACAATGTTCTTTGTGCTCTGTAACTTGACCATATAATCTAATAAATATGAGTCATCTGTTTATACAGGAAACAGACCCCAGCATCACCTTGGCAACCAAGAAAATCATGCTGCAGAGAACCACAGCCAGGTGAGCAATTATAACCTGTAGATGTTAAATCGAACTTATCTGCCTGGTCACATTAATTCATTGTTGCTTTATATTTTCAAGACATCCACGTGGAGCTTTGGTCATCATACAGCATTCAACCTGTGGGACCAAAACCCAAATTCATCTCACTGGAGCGCAGCAGACAGCCACCAGGCTTATGGTGCCCCAGCAGGAGCAAGTATTAATTTCATTGCCCTGCACAGGGGCACAGCGGTAAGTGATACCCTGACCTCCCGGATAAAGTAGACAATAATAAACTGTCATCCTTGGCTTCACTTGTTACTATGAGGAAGAGGCGCAATGAGGTGGAGGTTAATGTAAAACTGTCAGTAGGTGGTGCTGTAAATCCACTAAAGCCTTAAAATAAGGCCTTAATAAATCTTTCAAAAGTCTTAAAAATGCCAAGATGAGGGAAGTAGGCTTTTATGAATATTTTTTTCCTAATGTTGCATTGTAAAATCTAAAAATAATTGCCAACATCTATTTTTCTAAATAGTTCATTAATATCTCTCGCATTAATGTTCTGCAGATCATGATAGCAGAACCAACAACACTCATATTTTGGCAATGTATACGAGGCTCTGTGTATTTTATACAAATACTTTGGACAGATGATTCCCACCAGCCCCAGCATGGTGGGAATCAAGGCAGTGGGATCCCAAATGCAGAGTGAGAAACACAAAAATGCCAAGAAAACTCGCCAACAAACAGCAGGTATTAATTCCCCAGTTCTTTTCTACCCTCATTTCCTCCACGTTTCCACCGCCATCTCTAATACGAGCACCAGGATCAGCAGCTTAGGCTGTAATATATATTTCTAATGTTTTGAGGCAGATTTGTTTTTGTAAGATGGTTTCTTCATTAGTTTTCCATAACTGCTTATCCCGTTGAGGGTCACGGGGGGCTGGAGCCTATCCCAGCTGACACTGGGCGAGAGGCAGGGTACACCCTGGACAGGTCGCCAGACTATCACAGGGCTGACACATAGAGACAGACAACCATTCACACTCACATTCACACCTACGCACAATTTAGAGTCACCAATTAACCTGCATGTCTTTGGACTGTGGGAGGAAGATGGAGTACCCGGAGAAAACCCACGCTGACACAGGGAGGACTAGAAACTCCACACAGAAGGGCTCCCCCACCTTGGGGTTTGAGCCCTCCATCCTGGATTCGAACCAGGAACCCTCTTGCTGTGAGGTGACAATGCTAACTACTGCGACATTGTGCCGCCCAATTGGTATTGAAGGTCATCTTTATCAGTTGAGTGCCTGTTGAAATTAGCTGTAGAATAATGGTTTAATGATATGAGTCATACAATAATGTTCTTTTTAAATCATTCTGTTTTACAAAGAAATTATGATGGTGATGATTTCAAACCTCTCATGGTCACAGGGGCAGGAGCACTTTAAGCAGAGCCGTCCAGTGGAACAGCCCTCCTGGCCTTCTGGGACCTCCTCTGTATCGCCACCCTCTGAGCTCGGCCTCACCACACCCCTCCCACATAACATCACATCGAAGAAAATGCACCTGAGCAACACGGGTGCAGGGCTAAATCACCATGAAGAACACAGACCTGAAACACAGGAGCAGGATCACAGCACAGCACCTACAGGTGAGTCTGACTGAAGTGCTATTATTTTTTGTGAACACATACAAGTCATACAGATTTGTAATCTCAATACGCAATACTCAAGAACCCTACAGAACTTTCAGAACATTTCATGTACACCAACTTTTTGTTATTATTATTATTATTATTATTGTTATTTTTTAGAAGAAACTTTAATACCACCAGAACCTGAACATGACAGCTCCCATGAACAGCCTCAGGGAAATCCATCTGAGGGGCCTCGCAGACTCAAGAAGAACTATGACTGTCCGACCTGTGGCAGAGTCTTCTCTCACAACACCGCTCTGCAGCGACACCTTGTGATTCACGTGGGGAAAAGACCTTTCAAGTGCTTCATCTGTGGGAGAGGATTCACCCAGAGCGGAAACCTCAAAACACACATGAAAGTGCACAGAGGTCAGAGGCAACAAGATGCTCCTCTGTCTTTCTTTGTGAGCTTGGCCGTGCGGGTTTGTTTTTTAGAGAAATCTTCTCAACTGATCATTTTACTTTAAAAACTTAATAACTAAGTTTTTTTTCTCTGATTAAATGCAAGATAGCTTATGTAGATCTGATCTTGTGCTTCCAAAGTATTGTTTCGGATTCATGTATAAACATTAAAATTGATTAATGTGGAACTTGTGTAGGGTATGTTCTAAAGGCCTGCTCCCACTGAAAAGTCTACAGTGAATTTATCAATTTTCTTTTGAGAAATATTTGTATTTGGAAGTGGCCCATTAGCAGGCTAGTTACCTTAGCCGCTACAGGGACACATGTTCACACAGTTTATTCAAACAATAAATTTATACCATTTACTCCTCTCTCATTACAGTATCCTTTTTGTGGAGCACTTTTTACTGTGACAGGCTCAATAAAAATGACGATGTGACTGTCTAAAGCTTAAAATTTGCAAGAAAATCCACTGATTTTAGTGATTTTATTGATATGAGCAGATTTTGCAGCAAAAAAAATCTATGTTTTAAATGCTTAACGATGCAAAACTGTCTAAAAATAAATGACTATGAATGTCTTCGTTTTTCTTACAGGAGAGTTACCAAATTGGACATTAGTTCGAGAGAGTCCCCCGAATAAATCTCATGTGACAGTTCATGTGTGTGGAGAATGTGGCATGGACTTCCCTCAGAAGCAACAACTGGAGGAACACCGCCAGAGTCACAAAAAGCCTCACGCCTGCCCTGACTGTGGCAAGACCTTCAAAACGGAATACTATTTCAAAATACATAAGCGCATTCACTCAGGAGAGTCACCTTTCCTCTGTACAGAGTGTGGTAAGAGTTGTGTCACAGCAGATTCGCTTAAAAAACACGAGTTGACTCACACTGGAGAAAGGAATTTCCACTGTGATCAGTGTGGGAAGGCGTTTTCACAATCCTCCCACCTCAAGGTGCACCTCAAGACTCACACCGGAGAGCGACCTCACCTCTGCTCAATCTGTGGTAAAAGTTACTCCAAATCGTGCGATCTGAAAGTTCACCTGCGAGTTCACACCGGAGAGAAACCGTATACTTGTGACAAATGTGGCAAGTGCTTCTGTTACTCTCAAGGTTATCAAGCGCATCTGAAGATTCATGACAAGAAGCCAAAGCCTCAAACAAAACCGCTGGGGAGACCAAAACAACAGCTGTCAGTGGCACATAATCAATAATGTCACCTGGGAGTGTACAATAGTCTGAGAGGATATAAAGAGGAAAAGTTAAAACATAAAAACAGTATTGGTTTGCTCCTCTGTTACTGTGTGAAATCTTTAAGTGAATGAAGTGATAATTCAGGTAATATTATAGTAATCACATGGATATGGTATGCAGTCTTTGCTACTAACTGTGATTCACCTAAAGATGAATAATAATTTGACTGTTTGAGTGTTTGGAAACGGATTTTAACTGCATTTTCTTCAAAAGAACTGAGCTAAAAAAAAAAAGCTTGTACCTTGAAATATTTTACTTGTGACATCTAATAACTTCAGATGTTTGTTATTTTAACAGAACTTTTATTTTTGTATCTGAATTCATAAATATAAGCTGCTATATGCATTGGATTATCACGACCATGCAGCAGGATAATGCTGTACTTCAATGTTGGGCATTTATTTTTGTATACAAATTATTGTTCTCAGTTTTTTCTGTCATGCTCCTCCTTGCCTCTCAATTTGGGAACCAATGATTTAATCTTTGAACATTAGCCATCATCCATACATCACTGCTCAGCATCTTATCTGGCTCTAAGTCTCAGTAGCAAAGTTGGACAGATGATTTTTTTCCCTCAGACATGACCTCCAGTTTGTCCAAGAGGACCCTGAGACATCCTCTAGTCTTACCTGTCCAACATGCCTGGAAAACCGTCAGCGGGAGGCGTCTAGGATCATCAAGAAATAAAAAGGTTTGGAACTTTTCTGCTTGTTTTATGGTTTTTGACTTGAAGGGTATGTTGTCAGTTTACCTTTTTCCCACCAAAGGATTGGCTTTAACTTCAACTGCAACAGGATATGTTCGTTTACACACTACTACTACTACTACTACTACTACTACTAATAATAATAGTAATAATATAGAAACACATTAAGTACTCTCTTCTTACTGATAAGCATTGGGTGGTGGTGCAAGAAGTACTCAGATTTTTTAAGTAGAAATACTGTGGTCTAAAGATTCCGTAATTACAAGTAAAAATCCTGAATTCAAAATGTTATTTAAGTAAAAGTATGGAAGTATTACAAGCAAAATGTACTTCATGTATCCAAGGTAAAAGTACTGACAAGGCAGAATGGCTCCTCTCAAAATGTTATGTTTCTACGGATTTTTTTTAATCAATATCAACTCCTTCCAAGCATTTTAATGTTGCAGTTCTTGCAAGTGGAGCCAATTTTAGATTATTTGTGTAGGTTAATAGTATAGAAGGTACTCTATTGTATTCAATATATATGTAAAAAAAAAAAAAAGTGTCAGATGTAGTGGAGTGAAAATAAATCAACAAAAGCACGTACTTTGAAAAATATGCCTATTTTAGTCAGATTTGTCTTGTATCTTAATTCATACATATAAGCTGCTTTATGCATTGAATCATCATGACCATGCAACAGGACAATGGTATACTTTATATACTACCAGGTACATTAATAGTATCACACTGCATTACATTATGTAAGCATATCATATATTTTAATGTGAATAGTAATCATTAGTGTGGAATGAATTTAGTGGAGTAAAAAGTGCAATTTCCCTCTGAAATATGACATATATCATAAAGTAGCATAAAGTGCAAATATAGTACAAATATGTAAAAAGTGTACTTAAATACAGTACTTGAGTAAATGTACGTTACACATGCATTAAGTATATGACTAACGTGAATATTATACACGTCATTCCCTTATATGTGTATGTTTTAGGTGAGCGATTGCTGACTATTTTTTGATAATACAATGATTATTTAATGTGATAAGCACGGGTGTTTGCGGAAAGCTGCAGTAAACGAGGATTTAAGAAGTTATATTAGTGGGGCTTTTATTTTGGTTTTAAAAGTACCGGAAGTTCCGACACTACTGTAAGTGGCTAGCAGCTAAAGCTAGAAAGGTTGTCATCAGCCCCAGACGCTTATTTCATTTAACTCATCAATCAGGTGGCATTTATTCGAATTGAATATAATGAGCACAAAAAAGACAGAGACGTAAAAACATTGCCAAGTCGTTTTAATAAACTTAAGTCGAGCAGCTAAGTTACTTTTTAGCCGATGGAAAAATCCATGCTGAGGTTGGTCATAATGTCTGTTGTCAGTTGTTAGCTAACGTTCGCTGAGTTAACCAGTGTTTAATAAGTGGTGGTTAAAACTGCTGCAGATTTAATGTGTTAGTTTTACGTTAGACAACACTGTGAGTCTGTCGGGACCGTTATTTGTTATTGTTGATTAGCGGCTGTGTATGTATAGGAGCAACGGGTCTTGCTTGTTATTTGGCGTCCCAGCTCATGAAAAGACCAGTAGCTGGATATTAAAACACCAGGTAAGATAACATTACATTTGTGCATGGAGCAATTAACAGTTACCTTGCTAGCTAAGTTAGCTAGCTAGCTGGTGTTGGTGACGTATATTGTGCGAGACGATGTAGTTCACTGAGGTTTAGTACTATGATAGACTGTGACTTCCTTGACTTGCATAATTATCATTTAAATTGACAAATATGTGTAATTCATGGCAGAATGTTAAGGGGGTCCAAAAAATTGGCGATAGATAAAAGTGCCATTGCTAATTACACAGGTATGTCTGTCCGCAGCTCAACTCGCAAACTACTGGTCCTATAGTGATGGGCAAAGCAGTTCTTTAGATGTTACTGAATCACTAAAATCAGTTCATTAAAAAGATTCGAACTGATACACGGCTGAACGATTCATGATTCAGTTCAGTTCACGGCTTCCGGGAGTGCTGTGGCAGTGTTGCTTTGACAAACACGTTTGTCAGCACCGGGTAAGATAGATGCTTTGACAAAGCAAACACGTTTATTAATCATGATATTTTTAGTGTCTATTGTAAATTAACGCTGTTTAGAATGAGGGTTTTTTAACTGGTCTACGACATTACAGCACTGGGCTCAGGGCTAGGCAGTCCCTCCCTGCACCCTGGCTGCCTTGCAGCTCGCGAGTGATTCATCGTTCATGCGGACCGAATAGGCAGTTCCACTCCCGGGCTGCACGCTCGCTGCTGTGCTCAACTGAACCGAGAAATGAACGAATCAGTTCCGGAAGTGATTTAGTTCAGTACATTCACTCAACAGATTTGTTCTTTTAAACAATTTGTTCATGAATGACACAACACTACTGGACCAAGCAGCCAGATATCTTGTGTGCACTTTTATGATAATGTTCAAGGACGTGTCTTGGTTGCAGTGATAAACAATCTGACAAGTTATAATCAATGTTGGAAATTATCATCAGCCAGCAGCCAAATGCTGGTAAAATATGCAAGTAGCTGTCAGATGTGTTTTACTCACCTGCCCAAAAAAGTAAATAAACAAAAACCAAAAACCCCAATGGTAATCGATTGAGTGGCTGATAGATTTTGGAATGCACCAGCCATAGTGGCAGGTAGACAAAAAGTTTCCAACCCTGGTTATGATCCAGTTGCATAATCAAAATACAGTCCCAATGTTTTGAGACAGATTTGTTTTTGTAAGATGGTATCTGTTGTCATCTCAGTCTTTTGGGTGCCTTTTGGAATAAGCTGAAGAATAATGGTCTAATAATTAGAGTAATACAATCAAGTTCCTTATAAATCATTCAGTTTAACAAAGACATGGCAGCTGCATTTTAGTTTGGAAAACTGATTTTGTGCAAGCACCAAAACAATAAAATGAAACTCTATAACTAGAGATGTGGTGATTATTTAAAACCTCTCATGATCACAGGGGCAGGAGCACTTTAAGCAGAGCTGTCCAGTGGAGTATCGCCACCCTCTGAGCTCGGCCTCACCACACCCCTCCCACATAACATCACATCGAAGAAAATGCACCTGAGCGACACAGGTGCAGAGGTAAATCACCATGAAGAACACAGACCTGAAACACAGGAGCAGGATCACAGCACAGCACCTACAGGTGAGTCTGACTGAAGTGGTATTATTTTTTGTAAACACATACAAGTCATACAGATTTGTAACTGAAATAAGCAAGACGTTCATGCTGTCAAGATTCTACCTCAAATTATGTTTGAGCTTTAAACTAAAATCTTTTTTAGGTTTTTTTGTAGTTATTAAAGGAATCTACAGTCCACCAGGAAATTCACAGATAGTAAGCCCGGAACAACATGTCAGTATCATGTTGTGACATTTGTATAATAATTATGATAATAAAGAGACAATATGGAATAAAGTCAAAGTACATGATTTTATTCCAAAACAGATAAAGTTTGTAGTGTAGTTTTATTTGAAAGGGGGCAGTAAAAAACAAAGTCACTGCCTAAAGCTCCACCAATTAATATTTTCATATTAACAGTGGATAGAATTACCTCATGTATGTAACAGGTGTTGCTCATTCTAATGAACGCACACATGACTGCAGTAATATTCTCTACAGACCTTTTTAGCATCTTTTAGCTCATTGTACAGAGTGAGTATTACTTAACTTATATTCCTCAGGTGTCCAGAAACATGACTCTGAATGAATGCTGGTGTTGCTCCGTGTCTGCTGGATGTGTAGACAAGCAACTGTTTTCTAACAACTTTGTTCGCCATATCAACTTGTGTCAATGTTGTGTTTACAGTTTGTTTCTGCTGTTCTGAGGTGACAAATCAGACCCACTACTACTTTTTTTTTCTTTAGAAGAAACTTTAGGACGACCAGAACCTGAACTCGGCAACTCCCATGAACAGCCTCAGGAAAAGCCATCTGAGGGTGCAAAACAATGCCAGCAGCCTCGCAAACTCAAGAAGTACGACTGTCCGACCTGTGGGAGAATTTTCTCTGACAACACCGCGCTGAAACGACACCTTGTGATTCACGCGGGGAAAAGACCTTTCAAGTGCTTCATCTGTGGGAGAGGATTTACCCAGAGCGGAAACCTCAAAACACACATGAAAGTGCACAGAGGTCAGAGGCAACAAGATGCTCCTTTGTCTTTAATTAGATACACTTTTTTTTTCTTTTTCTTTTCTTTTCTTTTTTTTTTTTAAATTAGATGCTATAGTGACTCCAAACAAAAGACGAAGTCACTGAGAGGCTAAGTGAGGGAGCATTGCACTGCTGACTCGCCATACAAACGACAAGGCTATTTCCAAGTTTTCCGACTGTGTCCGTATTTATTTTCAACAGCGAACAAACAGGCAAAGCAAGGCAAGGCACGGCAGGATGTTCAAATACCCAGTTTTCAGTTAGGTTAAGCGGTCAACAAAAAATACGCTCTCCCTACTCACCCCCCTCTCCATGCAACCACCACGGTGCACAGGTGAATATATGCCCATTCATTCAATCACTCAATCACTGCTCCCTGACCACACCCACGTGACATGTGTGAAAGGTGTCAACTGACAGCTAATGTCAACACAAATATAAACATCAATATCTTAGCATATAGCACCTACAAATGCTTTTGGGAAGCTCCGCTCATGTGTTTTTCAGTTGAAGTCATTGTAAACTTATCTAAAATTGTATCTTTGTTATTTTTTTCCTCATCTATATGATGGATAAGCTTTGTCAATCTGATCTTGTGCTTCCACTGAAGTCTTCCCATGCTAAAAAGTGTTGTTTTGGATTTATGTGTAGAAATAATAATTGATTCATATTGTGGGACTTGCATAGACTATGTCCTAAAGGCCCAGTCACTCCAAAAAGTGGCACAGCAAAATTCAGCCAAGTGCCTTTTAATAAATGTTTGGTTCTTGATCAGTAATGTGTCAAATGTTCACAAAATCTCAATTAGTCAGTGAATTTTATATGTCATATGTTCTCATAAAAGGTAGAGCTACAAGTCCAGTCAGAAGATAAATTTGCAGCATTTACTTTCTTAATAAAAGTGGCATTGCAACATGCTGTAAAAGCAAAAAGTGTTTGTGGATTTACTTTGCTCACATGAGAAAATCCACTGAGCATGCAGTTATTTCATTGATATGAGTTGATTTTGCAGCAAAATGTCAATGTTTTAAATGCTGGTGTGACCGGGCCTTAACAATACAGAACTGGCCGCAAATAAATGACCATGAATGTCTTTGTTTTTCTTACAGGAGAGTTACCAAATTGGACATTAGTTCGAGAGAGTCCCCCGAAAGAATCGCATGTGACAGTTCATGTGTGTGGAGAATGTGGCATGGACTTCCCTCAGAAGCAACAGCTGGAAGAACACCGCCAGAGTCACAAAAAGCCTTACGCCTGTCCTGACTGTGGCAAGACCTTCAAAACGGAATACTATTTCAAAATACATAAGCGCATTCACTCAGGAGAGTCACCTTTCCTCTGTACAGAGTGTGGTAAGAGCTGTGTCACAGCAGATTCGCTTAAAAAACACGAGCTGACTCACACTGGAGAAAGGAATTTCCACTGTGATCAGTGTGGGAAGGCGTTTTCACAATCCTCCCACCTCAAGGTGCATCTCAAAACTCACACCGGAGAGCGACCTCACCTCTGCTCAATCTGTGGTAAAAGCTACTCCAAAGCATCTGTGCTGAAAGTTCACCTGCGAGTTCACACCGGAGAGAAACCGTATACTTGTGACAAATGTGGCAAGTGCTTTTATTACACTCAAGGTTATCGAGCGCATCTGAAGATTCACGACAAGAAGCCAAAGCCTCAAACAAAACCGCTGGGGAGACCAAAACAACAGCTGTCAGTGGCACATAATCAATAATGTCACCTGGGAGTGTACACTAGTCTGAGAGGATATAAATAGGAAAAGTTAATATACTAGCGTTGCCCATCTTTTACTCTGTGAAGTAAACTATCTTTCAAATGTCTGAAGTGATTGTTCAAACAGTATGATAGTAATCAAATGTATAAGGTGTGCAGTCAGCTACATTATTAATAACATGTATTGGAGTATATAGTATTCAAGAAAATAAATCATGACATCATAAGTCAATGTTCTTTGAATTTTTCTGTGTTTCTTCTCTTGTAATTCACCTTAACTTGGCCTTTGAGCAGAGTTTTTATCCAATAATTGGACCCAGCAGATCACAGTGTACATCAGTGCTTGTTTACATAGTAAAACTCTTTCACTGCATTATTGGCCAAAAAAAAAAACTAAAACAAAAGCTTGTATTTTGAAATATATGCTTGTGTTTGTAGTTGGAGCCTTTTTTTAAAAAAAAATCTTAATTCAGAAATATAAACTGCTTCATGCATTGGGTTAACATGACCATGCAGCAGGATAATTAATTGTATAGTATTGCGTAATTTAGTGGAGTAAAAAGTACAGTATTTCTCTTTGAAATGTTGAGTTGAATTGAATAATAAAGTAGCACAAAATGCAGATATTCAAGCAAAGTACAAGTAGTGAAAATAGTACACCACATGCATTAAGCATAATATAGCTGGCGTGAATATTGTATACGTTATTTTGTTATATTTGTATATTTTAAGGTGAGTTATTGGTGAGTATTTCTACTTAATACAAGCATTATTTAATGTAATATGTACGCATGTTTGCAGGAAACTGCAGTAAACGAGATTTTAATAAGTTATATTATTGGGGCTTTTATTTTGGTTTTAAAAAAGACAACCGGAAGTTCCGACGCTACTGTAAGTGGTTAGCAGCTAATGCTAGAAAGGTTATCACCAGCTCCAAACGCGTTTTTAACTAAACTCAACAGATAGGTGGCATTAATTTGACACATTGTTTGAACATACTGAGCCTGAAAATGACAGAGACGTAGAAACATTGCCAAGTCTTTTTAATAAACTTCAGTCGAGCGATTACTTTTTACCTGAGGGAAAAATCAATGCTGAGGTTGGTCAAAATGTCTATTGTCTGTTGTTAGCTAGCTGAATTAGCAAGTGTTATACAGCGGAGGTTAAAATTTCAGTAGATTTAACGTATTATTTTCGCACTAGACTCGGTTGTGAATCCGTCGGGAGCGTTATTTGTTATTGTTGATTAGCGGCTGTAGCTTAAGGGGGAGGTATCGTTAGCTAATTGCTAATATCAGTCATGCTAGGTAACGCCATGTCAGTGGCTAGCTGGCTAATAACAGTTTGCTCAAAGGCAGAGGTGGTCGTTGACCAAAGCGCTGGTCACCGCCGACTCAGACATTTCAGTCAGAGGTCAAATACCGGGCTCTGTACTGCAGAGTGCTCCTGACATACAGGGTTTGAATATGTCGCCATAGATACCAACAGGTTTGTCAATCAGGTTTCTATCTAACTTAAATCAATTAGTATGAGACAGTAGAGGAGCAAGAATGAGTCCCATCAAGCTAATGCTACTAAGCTAACTGGGCTACTCAGTGCAGATGCACGAAAAGAGCTTTTCCCATGACAGTCTAACCACTGGAACACAGTTACTTATTTTTATAGCTAACACTAAACAGCTCCATAGCCAGCAGTGTTGCTGAATAGTTTATTTGTTGTACAGTACATTTGTAAGGACAACTCCTTTTAACAGTAGACAGTCCATCAGGCCCAGCCAGGTTCAGTCCCCTGTCACAACAAAGCATCCGCCCTGCTGAAGTGTCCTTGAGCAGGACGATGGATGTCTTCCAGGGTGGAGGCATTGTTGTGTGGCTTGTAGAGGGGGAAAAGTGACAAGAATGCTTCCCCCAAAGTGATGTGGTGCCGGAGGCTGAGAGTCTAAAGAGAGAATGGATTAAAAACAACAGCCACTGAGTGACTGCTCACAACACTGTCACACCTTGGTTGAAATATGATTTAATAAATGCTGTATGAACTGTAAATTCATTTTTCATACCTTATTCACATCACTGTCACCTGTCACAATCACCAGTATGTCACAAATATTTGAAATAGTTCTGAACCTTGAATAAGATATCTGGGATAAATTAATGAATAGGAGAAATTTTGAATATCAGATCTGTCCATCAAAGCAGACTTGGTTTATGCTCTTAACATTTGAAATACTATTTATTATAATGTATAACAGTCTGTCTGTAACAGGACTATGACTGACATGTACATTATTATTTAACATAATGTATATTGCAAGTGACACATCATCAGTTTGACTGTTGACTTAGTAAGTTTGGTCACTTTCTTGGAAAACTGTGATCAGGACCTTGATCTTGAATTCTTAGTTATGCTATATAGTGATTTGCCATTTTGGAATTAGCATCTGTCACATTTCCTTCAGGAACTAACAACAAAACATTAAGACAGAAATGAGCAGGAAGATCCTGGTATGATTCAGTTGGTTTGATTAAAATGTCTCTATCCAAAAATGTGACTTGTGTAATGAGGCCACAGCCAATACAAATACATTTTTACAATACTGTATTGTGAGACACTTGATGAGTACAGGCCCAGAGCAGTTACATGGATTTGGTGGTCCTTTGTAGTGTAATAACAAAGAGTTTTGCACATATTTAATACTGTGATCTGATAATGGGTGAGCACTGAGCAGTGTTTTTCTCTACTTTTGAATGCTAACACATCATAAATGGATGATCTCTTTAAATTAATAAACATTATTTCAAGCACATCGTATGTTAGATTAGTTTTATCTCTATGATGCACTAACAGTCCAAAGAGTCAGCAACAGCAGTGGTTGCTTAAATGTCTTTCTCAGCTGTGAAGCTTTCGGCCATGTTTGCCTGTATTTATTCACTCCTTTGCTATAACTTGTTAACTTGTAAACGTGTCTGTTTACTGACTCTTGATTTTTCACCTCCTCAAGGTTGTACATTTGAGAGATGGGCTCTGAAAACCCAGAGGACTTTGAGCCAGCTGTGATCCTGGCTGAGGATGATCAGCAAGAAATCGGAGGCCTGATCAACTCTGATGGAGAAGAAGTGGATTTCTCAGACCTCAGTGAGCAAATAAGATAGATAGAAATTCAGGCACCTAGTAGCTAATTACACAATGCATACAAAAACACAGATACACACAGGGTTAGAGAATATAAGCATAAGAATAAAAACACATCATGATGCACTTCTCACCAAAACTTTTACAGGCATGGTTCAAAGAGCTTTTCTTAATAGTAAATGAACATATATTAAGTCTTAAGCTTAAAAGCAAACAAGACGTTTACTCTGAGCTACATCTGCAGTGCAGTATTTACTCTATAAAATTATACTACATAGTCAGGATAAACATCCAGTGGCACATTGATGCATTCCCAGCAAAGCTTGGCATGTCTGTGTTAGATTAAGCTGCAGTTTGCATACAGAGTACAGATGCAGTGATTTTGCTTTTCTCTCTCAGAAACCATTCCAACACCAAAATCAAGATATTTGGCAATGCTAAGTCTCAATATTAGTCTTTTTTCACATAAAAAAAAATTAAATGCTCAATTTTAGACCTGCAAAATAATTGTATGACTGTAAATGATGTATACACCTTTTTAGAACAACATATTTACACTGAATGTTTCTTGCAGAGAGGCATTATTATACTTACCTACACTATAAAGGACTCTACAACATGTCTGAACACCATCAGCAATGATGTTTGTTGTGCTCAGGGGTTAACTGTTAAGAAAATGTTTCCCCAGTCTTTTTGTTTTCCTGAATAAAATGCTGTCTTATCTTTCTGTTCACACAGGAGAGAGTGCTATCCCTGGCATTGTACATGCAGAGGCTCCCTCCAAGACATTTGATCAAAGTGAGAATGAAAAACCGCCGTCTCTTCACAGCTGCTCAGTGTGTGGGAAAGACTTCCCTTACGCCTCTAAACTTCAGCGCCACCTACGCACTCACTCGGGAGAGAGGCCTTTCCCCTGCTCCATGTGTGAGAAGAGATTTCCAGAAAAGGGGCTGCTCATGATCCATGAAAGGGTCCACACTGGGGAAAAGCCGTTCCCATGCACTTTCTGCGAAAAAAGATTTGCCAGTCAGGGTGAGCTCAGGCTGCACCGACGGACACACACAGGCGAGAGGCCGTATCACTGCTCCATCTGCCTGAAGAGCTTTTCCCGACACTGGCATCTGAAAACTCACTTAGAGGCGATGCACTCTGAGGTTGTCGCAGGCTTTACGAGGAAGAAGTTTCCATGTTCGGACTGTGAAAAGAGCTGTAACTCAGCAGCTGAGCTGAGAGATCATCAGAGGACTCACACTGGAGAGAGGCCTTATCAGTGCTCTTTCTGTGACAAAAGATTTGCCCTGTCGGGAACACTTGTAAGACATGAGCGTCTCCATACAGGCATTACGCCCTACCACTGCTCCGACTGTGGTAAGACATTTGCACAGCAGTGGACTCTGACGACACACATGCGGACTCACACGGGAGAAAAACCCTACAGCTGCACACAGTGTGATAAGTCTTTTGTAGCTCCGGGAGAGCTTCGGAGGCACACCAGGATTCACACAGGAGAAAAGCCGTACACTTGCAAGGACTGTGGGAGGCACTTCTCACTGGCAGGAACTCTCAGAAACCACAAAAGATCATGTACACAGAACAAGAATGGATCGGTTACAGGTGTCATCTTAAACCCAGTTCAAGCTGCAGGTGGTGAATCATCCCAGCAGGACCTGGTCAACAACATCAGCTCTGAGGTAGAGACAGTGCACAGCAGTTTCACGGTAGAACCTCAGTGTTTTTTTGTGGTTGTTTGATTGAGATGTTTAATTTTTCTTCCGCATTTGTACATTTGGGTCTTTTACAACCTTCTAACACTATTGTTGCCTCCATTTGTTCTTATTAAACTGTTTTATAGGTGTCAGACAGTCAGAGTTTGCTCAGTGCAGTTGAGCCCCATTCCTCAGAAGGTCTTGACAAAACAGCTCAGTGTGAAAGTAACCTACAAGAACCAGAAGACCACCCGGAGGATGTCGCTTCCAGTCCGCATATGAATGTAATAGTGAAAGAGGAGGAAGAAGAGGAGCCTTTGTGTGGTAAATAAACATGAGATGTCAGATTTTTGTTCTTATGTAACATAACACAAGTAGTGTGAATGCATTTAATGATGATTTAACATTTAAGTGGTTGTTTTGCTTGTGTTTCCCTCAGTAGAAGAAGCTCCTGACCAGGTGTCTGGTAGTGAGGATTGCACCATGCAGGAGGACACTGAAGAGCAGCAGCAGGAAAGCAACACAGAAATTAGGATTACAGTAAAGGAGGAAGAAGAGGAACTTGTGAACAGTAAGGAAATTATTTTACAGTAAAGATTAATTACTGTCTTTACTACAGTCATTAACTGGGACCCAGTGTCATTGAATGACTGGATTAAAACATATTTTTTCTCAGTGATTTCAGCCCACTCTTCTGTCTTTCCCTACACTGTATATTCTTTTTCTTCACTCTTTCATTGTTTCACTCTGTTTTTTTTCTGGCATGCTGGCACTGAGCTGGGTAATTCTAAAAAAAAATGTTAGGCTACATAGTTTTTTTTAATTATTATTATTTTTAAGATCTCTGTCGGCACTGAAACCCCTGAACAGAAAAATGGTTAAATACAGTTAAGGTCAAAATTATTAGCCCCCCTTATGAAATCAAATAAAACCCTTATCCTTCCAATGACATGGGCCATAACCATTAGTGTTTATAGTTTGTGTATGTCCGCAAGAACAAAGACAACATCTGCATAAGGTCAAATGAACATTTTTATTGGTTTGCTGAACTGAAACAAGAAAATGCAATGGTCAAAATTATTAGCCCTCTGACAACTAATAGTCAATAGTGTAGCCTTTCTGATCCAAAAATGACAACAACCTCTTTTGGTAGTTTCTAACCAAGTTGGCACATGTCTCCTGAGGGATTTTAGCCCATTCTTCCTTGGCAAATTGTTCAAGATCATGCAAATTGCTTGGTCTCCGAGCATGGACCCGAACCTTGAGCTCCCTCCACAGATTCTCGATAGGATTGAGATCAGGGCTCTGAGAGGCCCACTCCAGAACCTTGATTTTGGTGTCTTTCAAAAAGTTTTTGACTAACTTTGATGTATGCTTCGGGTCATTGTCTTGTTGGAAGACCCAGCGACGACCTAACCCTAGACTGGCTGCAGATGTCTTGATGTTAGCCTTCAAAATACCCACATAATCCTCTTTTTTCATGGTCCCATGCACCCGAACAAGGTTTCCTGTCCCTGAAGCAGCAAAACAGCCCCACAGCATTATGTTGCCACCACCGTGCTTCACTGTGGGGACAGTATTTTTAGGGTTGAAGGCCTCGCTCTTTCTTCGCCAAACAAAAGCAGCATCCATATGCCCAAACAGCTCAAGTTTGGTTTCATCAGACCAAAGGACAGACTTCCAAAACTCACCCTTATGTTTCAGATTGTCTCTGGCAAAATTCAGTTGGGCTTTAATGTGCCGCTGTGAGAGCAATGGGGTTTTTCTTGCACGATGACCACGAAGTCCACCACGATGAAGAACCCTCACAACAGTCTTGCGTCAAACATCAAGTCCAGAGGAAGCCAGTTCAGCAACAGTCATCTTTGCAGAGGTCTGGGGATTCTTGTTGACATCTCTGATTATTTTTCGCTGCAAAGTTTTGGAAATCTTGCGTTTTCTACCACGGCCAGGTTTATTTTTAACAGACTTTGTTTCTTTGTGCTTTGCAATGATGCAACGCACAGCTGTTCTAGAAACCATGAAACGCTTGGAAATGGCAGTATATCCTTCCCCCTGAAGATGAAGATCCACTATCTTCTGTCTGAGGTCCAGACTGATTTCTTTGCTTTTTGGCATGATGATATTGCTTCTTACGAAGATTATAGAGCAACCCTGGAGTATCCCTTTCATTCAAGTGGTCAAGTGATACTAACTCTGCTTCTTGAAGTCACTTAAATAAGGTTAATTGATTGCTCAGGTGTGTTTTCAAACCTAATTGACTGCTCAGGTGTGGTTTCAAACCCAGTTAATTTGTTTTGAAAGCACTAAATCACATGGGGGCTAATAATTTTGACCATTGCATTTTTTTTGCTTTTTTCTTGTTTCAGTTCAGCAAACCAATAAAAATGTTCATTTGACCTTATGCAGATGTTGTCTTTGTTCTTGCGGACACACACAAACTATAAACACTTAAGGTTATGGCCCATGTCATTGGAAGGATAAGGGTTTTATTTGATTTCATAAGGGGGACTAATAATTTTGACCTTAACTGTATCTTTTCCATCACAAAGTTAGAAGTGACAGCTCGTTGTTTTCTAAAGCTCCTGACACTTTATGAGAGGACTTGAATATTCATTTTAAAAAGCTTTGTTGCTCCTGTCCACAATAAAATTTAAGGCAATGCAGCTTTATTTTAGGATTAGACCAATATGGATTTTTTAGGGCCGATGCCGATACCGATTTTTTTTCATCACCCTTAGCCGATGACCGATTATGGACTGCCGATTTTCTTGAGCCAATATTTGGGGTCGATACTGCTTTGGTCCCTCAATTTACATAAAAAAAAAAAGACACAATGATAACAAATATTACAGGTCTCAAGTTTAAAATAAGAAACATTTATTGAACAGTAAAAAATACTAAAACAAGATGGAAAGTTGAGGTAGAACAGGTAGAATATTATTATTATTATTATTATAGATTCAAATAAAAAAAGAGTTCAGTGCTCTTAAATCTTCCAGTAATGTCTTTATAAAATAAACAAATATTTAAGCTGAAGCATAAATAAAACAACAACTACTGTACACAGTAGGATTCGCTGCATGTGCACTGCAGGGTCTTCCGGCATCACAGAGCTGTCCGTGGATGCCTGTCTGTAAATCATGCCAGGGAAAAGTAAATCCGCGAACCCAGGCACGTATCGGCCGATGCCGATACAAATAAAAAACTCAAATATCGGCCCGATATATCGGCCGGCCGATCTATCGGTCTATTCTTACTTTATTTGTACAGCACATTTCATACACCAGGGCAATTCAAGGTGCTTTACAGAGCATCACAAAAAAATAAAGGATACAGATTTACAATAAATGAGTAAATAGAAACAAAAATATAAAAGGTAAAATTAATTACTAAATGATTTACAATTTTAAAACTTAAAATGTAAAAAATTTAAAATTTAATTAGAATTAAAAGCCTTTCAAATTTAAGGCTAACCTTTATTTAGCTCTGGTAACAGTAAAGAACCAGAGTCATTTTTTGCCTGCACTCTGGTACAAAAATGCTGGCTAATTATAGGAAGGAGAGGAAAACATGCATTTTCAGATTTAGCTGTCTTAGTGTGGACATAGTGTAAGAGTGGATTCTACTTGTCATTATCGAAATTACCTAAAGATTGCAAAAGCAGGTTTCTAATTTGTAGCCAAAGTTTTTTAGCCGATCTAAATGAAAAATGTCATTGACAGATTTATTAATTATAGTTTTATTAGACTATTTAAAATTAGAGAAAGAAAGATCACCCTCTGTTATATTGATTGATTGAAATGATAGAAATCGGACTGTGTCTTTTTTCAGTTTACTCTGACTGACTCTTTGGTGTGACTGACTGACTGGTTTGAAAATGAGAACCCTGCACTTGTGGTTAGTGGTGATTTTGTGTTTCTTCTTAAGGCTCCTTAAGAATTTCACATGATTCATAGCTTTTATATACCTTCCTATGATTAACTCAACAATTGCAGAATAATAGATTATTTTATGGACTGATAAATAAACTGTTTGACATCACATTTTCTGTCAAGGACCTTTGGAGTATGTATTTCAGTTCAGCGGGATGCTGCTAAGATAAAAAGCCAGCATATGAACATGTCACTTCCTTCTATTGTCAGGTCTACACTTCGAAGCAGACACGTAACATGCACCCATAGAGGTGGCAGTAAAATGAATATTGCTGCTGTAGACATGTTTAAAGTTGGGACAGGTGTCTGTCCATAGAGGGGTGCGACATGGTGCAGCTTTTATAGTACTCCCTAAACATAAATGCACGTGCATCACTCCTTGACTGGACGATAATGCTTACACAGATCAGATCATCTGGGTCTGTCTTATTTGATCTCCTTTCAGTTTTCTATAATGGTGGATTTCAAAGTGAGCCATGTCTTAACAAGCAAAAATATGTGTTTTTGTTATTGTTACAAAATGGCATGTTTCAGTGTATCATGTATGTTTCCACAGTGTCTGGAGAGGATCCTGATCATGTTTCCGACAGTGATAAAAACAGCCCTCCAGCGTCACCAGGGCAGGAACAGTGTAACGACAAACTGACAAAGAGCTCTTACTGCTGTGGGCTCTGTGGAAGAGACTGTCACAAGATGTCTGCTCTTCAGATTCACATGCGAATTCACTCGGGAGAGAAACCTTACCAATGCACTTTGTGTGGGAAGCAGTTCACCCAGAAAGGGCAACTCAAAGGTCATCAGAAAGTCCACACTGGAGAGAAACCGTTCTCCTGCCCAGACTGTGGGAAGAGCTTTGCCCACTCGGGGGCCATGAACAGACACCGGCTCACACACACGGGAGAGAGGCCCTACCACTGTTCTGTGTGCGACAGGAGCTTTAATCAGTCGGGCCGCTTGAGGGAACATGAGAAAATCCACTTTGGGGAGAAGTTTGACTGTCCCGAGTGCGAAAAGAGTTTTACACGAGCTTCAAGCCTCAAAAACCATTTCAGGCTTCACACGGGAGAGAGGCCATATGGCTGCGACATCTGTGGGAGAGGCTTCAGCCGCTCACAAAGCCTGAGGCTCCACAAACGGAAACATGAGCAGATTTTCCCTGAGGATGTGTCTGCATTCAGTGTGAAGAACAATGATTTATCACAGAGTGACGATAACTCTCCAATTAATATGTGTATAGCAGACCAAAATGACTGACAATGTATTTATATAAACCATAGAGATATGTACCAGTAGTAGTATAACGAGACAAGATTTTAGGCAGTAAAACATGAACTGAGAGAGGGGAAAGTAAGGGACTACCTCTGTGAATAGGCTGTCATTAAAACTTTATGTGGTGGTTCACAAAAAAAAGTATTAAAGCTGAAATATTTAACTCCCTTAAATTAATACACAGACACGTGTCAGGTGATGTTCAGCAACTAACAACGCAGTTTCAGACAAAATGACCAAACACTTCTTTCATAAAATCTTGGGAACTGTTCAGATGATAAATTTTAGAGCTCATATTTACTCTCTTTTATCACTCTCACCTATGTTAGTTGCATCAAAATATCGCACTCACATTTAGACTATTTATTGTAGTACAAATGACTCATTTAAGGTCTGTGATTTCACACTTCTCCATGCAGTGTTTGTCATTCAGACTAATCTTGTATGTGGAAATGGGATTGAAGCGTAATTATGTTCTTGTATCGATGTTACGATGGCCAGTGAGCAGTTCACGAATCAGGTGAAACTGGAATTCATTCTTTGGGTTTGAGCTACTGAAATGTCAGAATGAAAAACCAGTAATGAAACAATGAGATTGTGATAATCATCTTTTTTTTGTTGTTGTTTTTGCCAAAACCACTTTGCCTTAGTGGCAATCAGTCTTTATCTCTGTTTGTGTTATTCAACAACCAGATTTTGAATCAGGTTCACCTGGTTTGAACAGCTCTTAAAGGCCAAGTAACTATTGTGAATAAGGTCATCCTATAAGGCTGTGATACAAAAGGCAATAATTTGAAGCCATGTAGATGGTAAATTTTGCCCAGTGCTGCCTCTGTCTAATTGTATGAGACATGGTATACTGAACAATAAAAGTAAAAGTACTAAAGCCTGGTGTGCTCTCTCTATCTATCTATCTATCTATCTATCTATCTATCATGGCAGCACAAGAACAGACACTCAGTAAAAGATCAATAGAAGCAGGGGTCTACCACACCAAACAGGACCCCAGGTGCAACCAAGTGGCTGAGCTAAGATCCTGTGGGACTTCCAGATCCTGACTGACAAACTGGTGATGGCTAACCAACCGGACATCATGTTGATTAACAAACAGGAACACGAGAAGCTTGAAAAATACCAAGGGCTGAAAGATGTGGGGAGTAAAGGCAACAGTGGTGCCAGTGGTAATCGGAGCACTCAGGGCTGTGACCCCAAAACTGGGAAAGTGGCTCCAGCAGATTCCAGGTACAACATCTAAGGTCTCTGTCCGGAAGAGTCCTAGGAACAGCTAAGATACTGCGCAGAACCCTCAAACTCCCAGGCCTCTGGCAGAGGAAAACTTAATAAGGCTTACAAAGGATTTACCACCAGTAATATATGTGTATAAAAACATGTAATCACTAATATTGTACAATAAAAAACACTCATGGGTGCAACCTTACCATTATGTTAATTATTCAAATTATAGATTTATGTCATTTTCATTCCTGTTCTTGTGGTTTTTGTCTAGTAGGGCTACACCAATATATCATGTGACCTGTGTCACATGACCCTCACATGAGCTCTTAAACTGCACACCTGTTTCCAATGCATGTTACACCCTGATGAAGACTCTCTAGTTTAAATGTAGTGGTTATCAGTGTATTAATGAAGGATTTTTAACTACAGTCAGAGTGCCTCAGATGCATGTTTGGACTGTGAGCCTGTACTGTGGACTTTTACACTGAGTGAGCTGGTCAGGTGTTGTTTTGGTTTGTTTGTTTGTTTATCTGTAAGTGACTCGTTGCCCCATCCTACATTCTTCCCCCAACTAACTACACAGAGCCTTAACCCAGTGCAGCACTCCTTATTTTTTCTTTATTATCAAAGCTGAAAGATGTCTGGAAATAGACTATGCCAAATGAAGGTTTTCCTGCAGGGCAAAAACATGCAAAGAAACAGAGTAAAAAAAAATTTCTATGTTTAAACTTTTTACAGAAAACCTTATATTTGGATGTAACCCCTTTTTGTAATCACCAACATACCTGTACCTGTAATTTAATTAAATATTTATTCTCAGTAACTGTAACTGATTACAATTGCATTAATGATGTAATTTAATTGCATGTAACCAGTTGCTCTCCAACACTGGCCAGGATTATGTGCAGTATATTTTGTTAGTCAATATGAGACATTTTAAACCAATATTTTAGCAATGTCAGTTTAATTTCTTGAACCACTGAGAAATTTGACTACTAGTAATTAAACTAGCCTGCTAAATGTTCCCAGAAAATAAAATGAAGTGCTTCTTTTTTTTTTATGACAGAAGACTGTTGATTTACAAGTTTTAGAAGACCCTGAGCTGCTCCTGAAGGCAGCACCGTGGCAAGGACACATTTCTCCTTAACCCTTCATTTAGCAAAATAAAAAATGAAGAAGAAGAAGAACAAGACAACATGACAAATGAAGTATTATCAGTCTTTATATTTTAAAACGTTGTCGACATGAGCACATTAAATGACATTTTAAGTTTACAGAAAGGCTGTCAAACGGAAGTTGTATAAATTACGATGTACAGTGAATGTGACATGAAGATAAACAGACGCGCACGATGCAGGCAGTTGAGGTTCTCAACGTTACGGATTATTTAGCTAAAGATACATTCATTTAGACGGAAAGCTGCTGTGTAAACTATATTCTTCTGTGTATGTAAGACTCAAAGGATATCCAGGTAAGTGCTGCTGATGTTAACGCCCTTGTCAGCGAACGTTAGCTCGCGTTAGCTTCAAGTTACACTGCCGTTAAAGTTAGCTAACACTGATAAACGTTGTAATGCTACAGTAACGTACCACTGTGTCAGGCTCCAGGCAGCAGTTAATGTCCCCTCACTGCTATAACCTTATTATCTTGACAGGCTGAACTGTATTTTATTAAATCGTCAAATGTCTGTGGTGAACTTTGACATTCACATGATTTAGTAATGCAGGGCTAGCTGTAGTTAGCTAAGTATAACATAATGCTCCTCGGACAGTGTTCATCATGCCATATCAGTATGGGCCCTCGTCATACCTCGACCTTGAGACATACACCAAGGCATTGCTAGGTTTTATTTAAAAGTATAGCTATATAAACACGATATGTTCTCATGTGTACCCTCGAGATGAAGGTAAACATGCTGCAGTACAAGATGCAGCTTGACTTTATGTACAGTTATGATCGTTAAACACATTAAACATAGTAATTATAGTAATTTATGACGGTGTAATGGCACATTTGTATGAGCTTTTTTTTCCCAGCTTAAATGCTTAGTGTGTGTGTGTTGACTATATACTCATTTTTAGTCCCTAACTTTTAAAAATCCATTAAAGCAATGGCAGAAGATTTTTTCAGATCTTTTACTTAAGTAAAACTAGTAACAGCACAGTGTAGAAATATGCTGTTACAAGTACAAATCCTGACATAACTTATGTATATAATTATTAAAGTTTTATTGAAATCCATAACAACACTATTCAATCATATTTTTTCTTGATAATATTTTGTGTTATCTATCTGAGTCTGCAAAGTAGCTTGTAACTAAAGCTGTCAAATAAAGCGGACCAGAAGTATAAGTAGCAGAAAATGGAAATACTCAAGAAAAGTTTATGTACCTCAAAACTGCACTTAAGTACAGTACTTGAGTAATTTTATTTAGTTAAATTCCACCACTGCATTGTAGTCCCCGAATTTTTTGTCTTATGCATCCATCTCCTCTCTGTTAGCCTACATCGTTCGTCTCTGATAGTGCTAAAGCGAAATCATCAAACTTAACTATCAAATCCATTTTACTTCAGCGCTTCTTATGCACACTTCTCCCACCAGCTCCAATTATCAGGAAGTGAGATATTCCACCCAACTGAACTTTGTGTGCTGTCTCTGTTTCTGTCTCTCACATGTTCAACCGCTCACTTAGACAAGCATACACTGTCAGGATGGTGTCGTACAAGCGGCTGAACCCTGAAGATGTTCAGTTTTCCAATGCAGCTTTGTCAGAAGAGCCTCGTCCTGTCCATGAAGAAGTCCCAGTGAGTTCATGTGTTTATGTAGACCGCTTCCTCTGGCTTGAACCTTCTGCAGTCAGTTTTAAAAGTGCAAATTGTTGGTCTCTTTCTGTAGATTTAAATAATTGATGTAGAGAGTTCATGCTCTTTATTTGGGCTGCCAATGTTATAAATCTAGCCATGCTAGTCTAATTATTTCATTGTTTGATAGTTGTAGTTTGATTTTCTTAAGAGCTAATGAATAGTTTTCTCAGTCCCAGCCTCTCAGCTGTGAGGATTTGTTGCCTTTTGTTTGAGTTGTGATTAGATAGATAGATAGATAGATAGATAGATAGATAGATATACTTTATTTAATCCCCGGGGGGAATTTAAAATGTCCTCAGCAGCAGGGGCAAGAATGACAAAAGACACACATCACAAGAACACAGCACACATACTTGAATAAGAAAAATCCTAAAAGTACATAAGATCACAAGGTGTGAATAAAAGGTATAAAAAGGTGTATAAAAACAGTACAGTAAGTATCTTTGTAAAAAAGGATGAATGGTTCAAAGTACATATGAGTTTGATCAGAGGGAGGAGTTGTTCAGTTGTATTGCTGTGGGTATGAATGATTTTTTGTAGCGCTCTTTTGAACAGCGGGGGAGTCTGTATCTGGTGCTGAACGTGCTCTTAGGAAACAAAATGATTGTTGGTTTTGGACTAAACAAGTGATAAGTGATAATGAAAACAATTCTTAGTTGGAGCCCTTCGGTCTGTCTCTGTTATGGCTTGAGACAGCTCTAGGTTGTTTTGAGGGTGCCACTTTAGATTGTTTCAGGAGTTTGTGTTTCCCATTTTTTATGTTTTAGTCTGTAACACTGCTGCCTGTTTTGGACACTCTTGAAGATGATATTTTTATTTTAAAGTAGAACTTAGGTATTTATCAACTTGAACCTTATTTCCCCACGTTTTTGTGTCTACCTGACTCGTGGGAACAATTTTTGAATTGGTCCAGTTTTGAGAGAGCGCTGCAGCCAGCAGCAGTGAAACAGTCTACAGTGTAATGAGAAGTCTCATTCCGAAATCTCTTGAGCGGTGACTTAATACTTGAGTGAGAGTTGGAGAGATGAGTGCCATTAATAGTTTGTTTTTTTGAGTACAGAAAGCATAGCTTAACCTTATCTGAAAGTTTTCAATGTTGTGGCTGAATATTTAGCAGACTTTGACAACGTAAAAAAAAAAAAGTCTGCAAGGTTTAAGAACAAGTCGTCTCCTTCAGCGAGACTTGGACACAAGACAGAGCAGAACAAGCAAAGGGTATAGAAAAATATTTTCATTCCTCTGTAGGGTTCTTATTGTAATGTTGTAAGAAACTCAAAATAACAACCTGAGCCTGATAGTTGCAAAAACAAGCACTCTCAATGGAGGCACAAAAACATGGGAAAATACTGTATGGTCTAGGTCGAAAAATACTGGTGTTGCCCTTTAATGAGGCTTTCCTGGTTAAATTTTAAAAAAAAAACCCATGGTAGCTCTCAAGGATCAGCAGTTTTTTACAGTACAAAAAAATAGTCTGATTTCTCTTGATTGCTTTTGTGTGTCTTATTTGATTTCCTTGTTGTGTTTTAAGGTGCCGGAGCCAGAGGAAGCCTCCTTGCTTCCACAGAGGCCGGCATGCTCTGTCACCACAGGTTTCCTTGTGATTGGCTGCCTGTTGCTGCTCCTCTGTGGAGGCTGGCTACTGGGTACCATGTTCTGGTTGCACCGACCGTCCACGCAGCAGCCACATAGACCCCCGTCACCGGCCCCTGCACAAACACCAGACTCTCGAGTAGAGACACTAGTAAACGACACTGTGGCTGCTTCCCGCCGTGAGGCTTGCAGTTTAATCCCTGAGGCGTGGAGGTTTGACTGCTACCCTGAAAGAGGGGTGGTTGTGACCCGAGAGTTGTGTGAGGCAAGAAACTGTTGCTTTATCCCTGCATCCTCCCCCTCGTCCTCTGCCACTCGCCCATCAGGGAGAAATGGTATCCCTTGGTGTTTCTATCCCCAGGATTTCCCCTCTTACTCGCTTGTGTCAATAAACGACACAGTGCTGGGACAGAAAGGTACACTCGTAAGGGAGGTGAAGACCTACTACCCAGCAGATATTCTCTCTCTAGAGGTGGAGATACGTTATGAGACAGACACACGGCTACGAGTCAGGGTGAGTGACACTCATCATTCATGTAAGCAAACGACAAATTTATTGCCTAATACGATCAGTGCCAATCCTTTTTTATTCAACCAGGTGGGTGTAAAGCAGTCATAAACTGTTCATAGGTCAGCTGATAAAGTTTTAATTACACACCACTATAAATTCTCTGGTCTGTTTGTTTTTGTTATGTTTCTTAATCTAGATTACAGACCCCTCCAGTTCACGATTTGAGGTTCCAATTTCTGTTCCCGCTGCCACCAAGAAGGCCAAAAGTCCAGCCTACAAAGTAGAGCTTTCAAAGGAGCCATTTGGGCTCATTGTGAAGAGGAGCTCCACAGGTGCAGTGCTGTAAGTCTGACTTGAATACGCTATTTTAGGATGGGTAAAGAAGGTGTGATGATCACAATCTAACCTCTATAGTATACTAGAAACTCTTAAAGGAATACTTTACCCACATCATTTGTCTTTCAATTACTCACAAAATGTTAGGTTGAATTCTCCGAGAAAACTTTGTTTTTCTTTCATGCCCCGACAGTGAACAGAGAATCCAAAAAGGCAAACATTCCTCATGAATTGAAGTAAAAGGGGGCTGCGCTTAACAGCAGCAAAACTATATCAAAACATTTGTTCACAAACTCTCACACAACTCGGGCAGTATAATCCCAGTCTCATTTATCCAGCTGTATGGTCAGTACTTCAGGAATATTTGCCTTTTTTGGATTCTCCAGTCACTGTAGAGGCATGCAATAAAATTCAGTGTAACACGTGGTGAGCACTTGATATACAAATGGTAATTTCTGCGGGTGAAGTATTTTTTTTAAGGCACATCCAGTTGTGAAAATAATCCACTGTATCTTGTTATGTAATAATTAACGTTATAATACTGTGTCTCCTTTCAACGGTTTCCTTTCAGTCTGAACACCACAGCGGCTCCTCTCTTCTATGCGGATCAGTTTCTCCAGTTATCCACCGCCCTGCCCAGTCAGTTCATTTATGGGCTGGGCGAGCACCGCTCCACTTTCCTGCACGATGTCCACTGGAACACACTCACCATGTGGGCCAGAGATGTGCCTCCTATGGTATGACGATACCTGTTATGGTCTCAAACATTTTAGACACAAATGTTTAAAACGATAGCAGACATTTAAATGTTAGTAGGAAAAGCATAAGTATTATTTATAACATTAATGTGTTCCAGTAAGCCATGATGGTGTGAGAGTGAGTCAGCATGAAAGATAGAGCTTTTTCACAGAAGACATTTTGACATGTCTTGGCACGAAAAGCACAGGTGTATTTAATAGAAGCAATGATGGCTGTATTCCACCTAAGAGAGGTCTTGTTGTGCATGCTGGCTCACTGGAATAGCTTCCTGGGACACTTAATGGAACTGAGCCATCATATATTAAACCGATGTTTTTCCTTCAGTGACATTCAGGATCTTTCTACTTAGGATTACATCTTTATTGAATGTGCAATTCATCTTTGTACAAATAAGATAAACGAAAATGTGTTCCTCTCTACGATGTAGGAACAGACAAACTTATATGGAGCTCATCCATTTTACCTGGCGATGGAGGATGGAGGGAACGCACACGGCGTCTTCCTGCTGAACAGCAACGCAATGGGTCAGTCTGCTAGACGCCAGATACTTCCACTTAAGGTTTCACTACGTGCAGTCATACACATTAGCAGCTGATTGTTAAAGTCACACAGCTGTTCATATGACACCATTAAGCAACTTTATAAAAAACAGAAGTCCTTAAATGGCAGTTTGTGCAGTTTCACAGAAGCGTGACTACAGTGTCAAGAAATATGAATTTTCTAGTGTTATGCAAAGAGGTCATTTAGAGGTCACGCTGTATTTCATTAGTATTCCTAATGGAGATACTGAGTGCTGCTTACTGAACGGTTGAATAGGTTTGTAAATGTAGATAATGTTTAATTTTATTGGTTTCCCTTCGTCATCATGAGAGATGTTACAGAGCAGGGATAATCAGCCACTTACTTAAAAATATTTACATAGCTGTACATGTATTCTTAGTCACTCATTATATCCTCTGTACTTTCTTTATTTGCTCGCTAGCTTTGTAGGCGTGCTCTCAGTGGTCCCTAATTAAAGCTCACTGTGAAGAATTAACTTCCAATTAACAAATGTTCATCCTTAGTTTTTCTGTTTCTTCAGATGTGATCCTCCAGCCCGCCCCAGCGCTCACCTGGCGTACTATTGGAGGAATCCTTGATTTTTATGTTTTCCTTGGTCCTGACCCTGCTGCAGTGATTGAACAGTATGTGGAAGTCATAGGTCAGTAGGAGTTTGTGGGGGTGAGGTCACGTGGGAATGTTGTGTACAGTAGCTATATGATGATAGCACATCCCTGTCTTACAGACTACTTTTCAGAGTTGCATTTTGCAGCTGTTACTCACTTAAAAAGAGAGTTTCAGTCACTCTGGGGGTTGAACAGTTGCTACAATCCATTATTTGATTTTGTATCAAACATGGATGAATAAAATAAACATTAAAAGACATGCTCTAGTGCAGTGGTTCCCAAGTGGTCCAACCACAGGGTCTAGATTAGTCATTAGTTCGAGGTCCACATAGTTTAATAAATTCAGTGTCTTATGAGCTTTGTCCATGTCATTGAGCCAGTTTGCTGTCTGTCAAGTAGCTGTAGGTCAGTCACTCACTCTACAGTACAAAATGGCACTTCAAAATGAAAGCTCTGTGCTGGAAATTCACTGTACTTTAAAATAAAGTGTCTCACCCACTTTTGGACCTCAACCCACCAGTTGGGAATCACTGCTCTAGGTTTCACAGACACAAACAGCTTCAGGTTGCTTAAAGGGATAGTTTGGATCTTTTGAAGTGGGGTTATATGAGTTCCTTATTCATAGTCACTGTATTACCTACAGTAGGTGTCAGTCTGCGCGCCCCTAGTTTAGAGAAGCAGGCAAGAGTACCGCCACAGAAGATAAGCAAATAAGCATTTTAATGCAGTGGATGGAGACAGCAGCCATATTTTAGCCAGCTAAAAAATAATATCACCAAGTTAATGTTATGTTTAGAATATTTTCACTGCTTTACCTTTCTGTCAGACAGTGATTTCTGACAGGGAACTGAAGCCATTATTTACAACGCTCTCTTGAAAGTCAGACTTCACTGGCTACCCTACTCAAGTATGACACTGATCGACAGAGAAAAGTAAAAATACTCTACAGACCTTTGCTGTTTAGGTTTGTCCTTATGGTCTTTACTTTATGGGTCTGGCTTCTGCTGAGTTTGCATGTTCTCTCTGTGTCAGTGTAGGTTTTCTCCGTGTACTCCTGCTTCCTCCCACAGTCCAAAGACATGCAGGTTAATTGGTGACTCTAAATTGTCTGTAGGTGTAAATGTGAGCATGAATGGTTGTCTGTCTCTATGTGTCAGCCCTGTGATAGTCTTATTTCCTGCATTTGATACTGATGATTTCCTCATTCCTCTCCCCCTCTTCATCCCTCCATGTTTTTACAGGCTACCCAGCGATGCCCATCTACTGGGCTTTAGGCTACCACCTCTGTCGCTGGGGTTACAACACCAGTGACTCTACCTGGGAGGTTGTCAAGAGCTTGAGGAATTATGGGATACCCCAGGTAAAGTTGACCCATTTTGATTGTGTGTCTGTTTGCATTTTTTTCCTTCGTTTTTATGTGAAATAAATGATTTAAACGTTGATTTGTTCACAGGATGTCCAGTGGAATGATATTGACTACATGGACCAATTTATGGACTTCACTTATGACTCAGCAAAGTTCGCCACACTGCCTGATCTAGTCAAGGACCTGCACGCTCATGACCAGCGCTACGTCATAATCCTGGTACGTAGGAGTTTGCTTTTAAATGTTTGTGTTGTGTCTGCTTTGGCTTGCTTGTATGACAGTTATGTCTCTACCTGCAGGACCCAGGTATCAGCAGCTCTCAGCCTGAGGGCTCATACTGGCCGTATGATGAAGGGCTGAGGAGGGATGTTTTTATTAAAGATGCGGAAGGAAAAACACTTATTGGGAAGGTGAGACCCGGTGATGATATTTCACGAATGGGATTATTCCAGGACACAATTACTACCCTCCACTCTGTCTTCTGCTGTCAGTAGTAAATGTTGAGGGTGTATTAGAAATAAAATTCTCTGTCCCTCCCTCCAGGTGTGGCCTGGTCTGACGGCATATCCTGACTTCTCTGATGATGTGACTCATGAATGGTGGTACGACAACCTTAAGAGGTTCCATGAGAAGGTGCCATTTGATGGACTATGGATTGTAAGTGCTGAAATGGGAGATACTATTAAAGTAATGGCTCTCTTCAGGTCATGATGTCTTCACCCTGACTTTTGCCTCATTTCACTTTAGGACATGAACGAACCGTCAAATTTCCTGGATGGGTCCACCAAGGGCTGTCCATCAAACAGTCTTGAAAATCCTCCTTACACACCCGGTGGGAAATCTCAAGAACAAATCACACAACAAACATAACCTACACAAAATTTAAGAGTACATGTGATTGTCAAAATGTAAATTTGTGTCTCTTTCCTTTCAGGAGTACTTGGAGGTTTGCTGAGAGGCAAAACTGTGTGTGCCACTGCACAGCAAAAACAGTCTATACACTATAACATGCACAGCCTCTATGGACTTATGGAAGCTAAGGCGTCTGCAAGGTCAAGACCTATAACACACATACACACACACACACACACAACAAAGATACAATGCTGAACACTGCTGCCTCTGCACCAGCAACAATTGTGGCCAGAAGAATTATGTTTTCAGGTTGTCAGTTCATCCTGTTTTCGTGAACGCAAAATCTCAAGAACACCTAGAGAGAATTTCTTCAAATTTGGCACACAACACGTCCACTTGAACTCAAGGATGAACTCATTAGAATTTGGTGGTCAAAGGTTAAGTTCAGTGTGAGCTCACAAAATATGTTTTTGGCCATAACATATCATACGCTGATTATGACAAAATTTCACACAAATGTCTTAAGTGGATAAAATGATGACATTTTATATCCAAAAGGTCAAAGGTCAGCTTCACTGTGGCATTATAATGTTCTGCAAAAACACTTTTCGGGACACGATTAGCGTCATAGCTCAGGAAGAGCGGGGGAGACATTTGGTCAGAATCTGAATTGGTGACTCTTATCTTTGGTGTTCACCTTGACACTGTGCTGATTGTACAGATCTCCGTGTTGAAGATGTGTGAAGCATCCATGTTTTTTTTTAGAATATGTAGCTTCTTCGCAGTAACATAGATATGTTAGATAACATACGTGTTTCTCACTGGATATTTTAATCACTAGAATCATACGTCAGTATAGTGATAACTTCCATTGCAGCACAAAAATGCACTTAATCCCTTAGTCCTCACCACATATATGAATCCGGACAGACGAGTAGTTATGCCCTTTCCTTAAATCTGCCTGTTCACTGTCTTTTATTTATTTATTTATTTAACAGCGACAGTGCACAGCCACTTAGCTGCACCAGAGTTAGCTATAAGCTCATTTTCATCTGTAGTCCCTGAGTAGGAAACAAAGAATAATTTCTCTGCTAAACCACACTATTATTTAAAAAACACAATTACAAAATATAACATATTCATGACACAACGGCTTCAGGAATAACAGTAGCAAGACAACACAACATCAAGTCATCTCAACAACAACAACAGCAACAACAATACAGCACTAAGACACCACAACAACAATAATAAAACTACAACATTAAGATATAAGAAGATTTCATAATGTTAGATCAAGTGTTTGAGTTCATGTGTGATGGGTTCATGATTGGGTTGAAACCAACAAAGCTGTTGCACTGTCTTATCTCACTTGGTACTGAGTTCCAATAGTTTTTAACTCTTAACAGATAAAACTGATCTACCAAACTCAGAGATCTGAGCTGTACTGCACAGTCGCCTCTGTTGGTCGTCCTAGATGTCCTCCCAGTGTCTGAGCACAGTTGTATGAACTCTTCTAATGGAAGAGCAGCTAGATCATTAATCACTTTGTACACTAGACGAGCATCAGCAAGGCTGATTTTTTTTTCTTGTCATGTGTCTTATTTTCCAGTGCTCTGAAGCGGATCTTGGCAAAGAGACCTTTTGTAATCTCTCGCTCCACCTTCCCCAGTCAGGGGATGTATTCAGGTCACTGGCTGGGAGACAACAGGAGCCAGTGGAAAGACCTGTACACTTCTATAGCAGGTTAGACACATACACAGAAGCAGACTGAATAAATAACTGCCAGCCATGTTTTAACTTTCAAATGAATAAAACATAAATTTGGTGGAATAGAGAAAACATATCTTACTTTCTGTTGTCTCTGCCAATTGTTCTCACACACACACAGTTTTATGTTCTGCTTTATTCTGATATTAACATTTCACTTTTCCAACCTTGATCTGGCCATTTAAAAACAGTTTTGACCCTAAATCAACAAAAGTCCTCTTTAATCATGAGTACCACAACTTATTTTTCGTAGATCAGATCAAAACAGAGCAAAATCACAAAAAAAGGACTCTAAATGAATGCTGACACTGCTCTGTGTCTCTGTGTGTGTTATCATGTTTGCCAAAGTGGCCAAAATGAATGAATGCAGCCTTGAGTGATAGCCATGTTGTTCAACAAATGCAAACTAGTCAGCAATTTGGAATATATTTATAGGATTTTATGACACACTAACGTTGTATTTTAACTGCTAATTTGAAGGTTGTGTGTTTCTAAAGATCTGTGTTATAGTTTCATGAGGTACTTACACAAGTTTTATTGCACACACTACTCTGTATTTACTCTGTCGACTACAGCACAATGAGGAAGAAGAGTAACACCCACACTGGTGTATTATTTTTAGATTTCCTAGAATTGTGTTTTAAGTCGTCCATTTAATATTTCATTAATGGTTCTCTGTCATTTTAGTGTTCCTTTAATATTGACCTTTTCCAAATCTCTCCTTTCCATGTTATCTTGACGTTGCATAACTCTCTTTTGTCTCCTTTAGGTATGTTGACCTTTAACCTTCTGGGCATCCCGTTGGTGGGAGCAGATATCTGTGGCTTCAGCGAGGAGCCGCAGGAGGAACTGTGTGTCCGCTGGACGCAGCTGGGAGCTTTCTATCCCTTTACACGAAACCACAATGCCATCGACATGAAGGTAAGATCTTAAGGTCGTGGCTCCAACGTCACAAAGCACAGTGGGTAAAAATACTCAGGAGCCAGTCTGTCCTTCACTCCTTTTTGGGATGTTACTTTTTTCTTTAACTCTTTTCTTTTCTTTAATTTACAGTCTCAAGACCCAACAGCGTTCAGCCCTCAGGCTCGTACAGCCATGAAGCAGGCTTTGCTGCTGCGTTATTCTCTCTTCCCCGTCCTCTACACTCTCTTCCATCATGCACATGTACACGGACACGGTGTCGCACGGCCGATAATGTTTGAGTAAGTGTTTGATTGTTATTTTGTCTGGATCAGGAAGATGTTTGCCTTACTGTATCTAACTTCTGTGCACTCCAAAGGTTCCCAGAAGATGTAAAAACCTATGGAATTGACAAACAGTTCCTGTGGGGGAAGAGTTTATTGGTGACACCAGTATTGGATCCTGGAGTCACCTATGTGGATGGTTACTTCCCAGAGGGTCTGTGGTATGACTACTACACGGTAAGACCCACACTCACACTATCAGTATTCAGCACAGTGCATTGTGAGTTGGGAACAGTGTGGTGTGAATAGTGTACTTATGGTCACATGGGGTCCTCTACTCCTCAGGGTGACTCTCTGCGCAGCAAGGGCGAAGACGTTCAACTCCAGGCACCCCTAGATAAGATCAACCTGCATTTGCGTGAGGGCTCTGTTATTCCAACACAGGTTAAAAGGATTTTTGACTCAAATTACATTATTTTGTTTTTTTCCAGGCTGATTCCGAATTTCCTCACCTTACAGGCTCTTATTCAATGTATGATTTCACATTTGTTTTTCTCTCTCCATGTTTATCTGTACAGGCCCCCAACCTGACCCTGTGGGTAAGCAGCGGTCAGCCTCTCCATCTGGTCTCAGCTCTCTCTGACGATGGCTCAGCCAGTGGAGATCTGTTCTGGGATGACGGAGAGACCATTGACACCTACGAGAACAATCTGTACGCCTACATCATCTTCAATGTCTCACAGGTGCTCACACTCAGCTATTTTTTTTTTTTATTTTTTTTTTGCCTTACAAACAAACAAAACCCACCCTCAGTGTCACTACCACTTCCTCATCCCACCCTGCATTATGTGATTCAGTCTGTGATTACCCACATTTCTCTGCCCGTTTTAAAACCCTCACAAACTGTGTCTGAACTTGTGTGATGTAGCTCAAGGTTATGTGTGTAGATGAAGAGAAACTTACTTAACCAAAACATACTTTGTAGCAGCAATGCATGCTGGTCTAATGAGGCTTAAGTCTCATCCTCTACAGTGAAGCCCATTAATGCCCATATCTTTGCTGTAATATTGCCTTTCTAGAGAGAAGCTTTTAGGTTCTGACATTTGATGTTAAAATAATTGAAAATGGTTAATCTTTAAAGTATTTTTGCGACACTCACTCATAATTTCATATCAAGCACATTGTGTGTAATTGGCCAATAGCAGTAAAAGACTGGGCAGGAATTTAAAGCTGCAGTTTTAATGTTTTGGCCACTTGTTTTGGGGCAGCTGAACATGCTGTCATCAAAACATATACTGTATGTGATCATCCTCTCAAGTAGTTGTAACAAATGTGTTAGCCAACAGCCACCTCAAGCACATATTAATGCAGCATTAGCATTCATTTTGATTGGTTTCTTTGAACACCAGATCCAATTTTTACTCACTTTTACCTCTGATCTGGTCCCTACCAACTCCTGAGGGAAATATCTGGCTCTGTAGCAGCTAATTGTCAGCTAGTTGCTATCTTTATCTGTCTTCTGTGTGGTGCTGGTCAGGTAATGTACAGTTGGTTTATCAGGGCTTTCTTGAAATGAAAACAGCTGGGGTTCAAAATGGGGTTGATGAGAGCGGTGACACTGAATCAGAACAGTTAAAGCTGTGGGATGTAAAATCAAAACAACTACCAGAAAGAGGCTAAATGCTCCACAGAGCTGGGGGAATTGCAGTCGGGTGGTACTTCTCTGTAGGTTCATCACTATGAGTAGCCCCTTTCACATTACATATAGTCATTTGACTGATATTAATACACAAATATGGATTTGTGCAGCTTTAATGTCTAGTTTTGAAGAAATACTCATTAAAATATGTTGCGATGTAACTTATGCCCATCCATCTGCTTATATTGTAGAATGTGATGACATCACAGGTGCTCCATAGCAACGTGGAGGCCACTTACATCACAGTCGAGACGGCCTCCTTCTATGGTGTGAAGCAACCGCCAAGCAGAGTGCTGGTGAACTCCCAAGATGCAGCGTTCACCTACAGAACCAACCAGGTGAGGTCACGCTGAACAGACTATTGTTGTGCTTCATGTTCACGATAAGTCACTAAAGCATAATGAAGTTGGCATAAGTGGATTTAGCCTTTAAAATACTGTGGTCTTGCATTTAATTAAGCATAAGATGAAGTTAGTGTTGTTAGTTTTACTTGCTGTAGGCATCTTTTTGTTTATCAGCTGTCATTGCTTAGCTGTAGCTTTGTTTATTTCACATTTATGCATCAGCAAGGTTTTATGAAGTATTAATACCATTTGCTCAAGTAAAAGTAGCAACACCAGACTACAAAAATACTCAATTACAAGTGAAACTCCTGCATTCAAAACTGCACTTAAGTAAAGGTACACAGAGGATGGGCAACAAAGTGTACTTTAAGTATGAAAGGTAAAAGCTCTCATTTGGTCCATGTCAGTGCTACGCTGTATCATTACGTTACTTTATCATTGTTGTTCACACATGTAAGCAGTACTTAAATATTCAAAATGTAACTGCTGCATGATTTTTGACAGTTAAATCTAAAGCAATGCAATATATTGTGTAATCACAAAGATTCTGCATTTTTTTTATTGTAAAACTCTCAATTTGAAGTATCGATAGCTGTGAAATAAGTGCAGTGGAGTATGGGCCATAAAATGTAAATACAAAAAATAAAGTATAAGACTGGAAAAACTGTACCTAGCTACAGTACTTGGGTGAATGTACTTAGTTACTTTCCACCTCTGTGTGACAGCAGTGGCCTTTGTTGGAGTTTTAATACAGAGCTGAATCCTTCTGTAGCTACAGTACGCACATGCAGCACATTTATTGTTTAAATTAAAAGCAGATCTAGTGTACAGGCTTTATAGTGGCTCCTCATTTTATCAGAATGAAGAAACTCTTAACACTGAAGCAATGTGTTTTTTCTCCACAGGTGTTAACAGTTGCAGATCTTGGTCTCAACCTCAGTCAGAACTTCACCATCAGCTGGCTGTACTGAATCAGACACTCTTTAATCGTTGGTTTTATTTTCTGTTGGCGGTCGAAGACACAAGCTGGCACAAAGTGCAGTCTGTGAGTGTTAGGACAGTGATGTTTTGGCTCTGTACGCCAGAACATTAAAGGGAACACTAACTGAGGTTTAAGTGCTAAACTTCACATTTGTAACAGGTGAACAGCAGGGCTGGGGATCAGTAGTTGATAACTTGAGATATCGACTGAAATAACCTAGTGCGAAGTTGTATCAAAACCTATAGTCAAACAATACCTGCATTCGATCCTTTTTGTACTCAGATCTAGAAAAAAATATGACCGTTTTTTTCCACAACAATTCACCACAAGCGTTGTTAAATGTAATGCAACGTGTGATTGCCCCACTACCGTGGCGTCTACATCCCATACAGTACATGGTGTGGTGAAGTCGAGCAAGCATTTGACAGAGTTGTCAGTTCAGCATGCTGGGATGCCACCCAAACATTTGAAAGCATGGCAATACTACACACCTGTGGCATCTAACAAAATAAGATGTGTAAAATGTGGAAGGATAATTTCAAACAAGGTACTCTGTTGGTATCTGTATCACTTTAAAGGTGTTGGTGTTGGTACTGGTATTGTAATTTTTTAAACAATACTCAGCTTTAGTGGACAGTGTAGGACTTGTAGACCTTTTTGTTTGAGTGGGCTCTACATAAAAAAAGTGCTACAATTCCAAATAGTTCACCTGATGTGTTTGCAAACACTCAAATTAAAGCTGAGAGTTAGCACTTTAACCTCAAAGTCATTGTTTCATTTCATAGCTAATGTGCTGGAGTACAGAGACAAAACAATCTGTCCGTCTGTCCAAAAAGATGAACAGATAAACAAGTACTGGAGTGAGTGAGGTCAAGTTAGTGTTAATTATATTTACAGTGCGGCGTTTCAAACAATGGACAAAAAACCCCATGAAGGTTTTTTAGACAATACACAACCACTGGCCTACAGTAGTCTGGACACTGCTTTAATTTTCTGTGTGGAAAATCTAATTTAATGGCTGATAACTTATCACTGTACCGTCATCTGATTCACACAAAAATCGTGGCAGTTTCATCTTTAGTTCAGTTCGTAGATCAAATCTGCATTTTTTAAAATTCTCTAGCAGAAAGATTCTGTGCAATAAGTGAAAGAGGATGATCTACCTTTTTAAACTTGAGTCTGAATATAGTTGATTTAATATGTTGTTTGTGCTTAAATGCTGTTTACAGCCTACTTTTGCACTAAATAGTGCTGCAGTATTATAAAGGTAGATACAGGTGCCTTATGATTCCTGTTTGTGTTTGGGAGCGTCACTGGGTTTGTTGTTCCAGATGATCCTTTGTTCAGCTTTATATTGTAAGCCTGTTTTCAATGCTGATGACCATAGAACTGCTATGCACGTTGATTACTTTAATGCATAACTATGGTATACTAGACCAGCCATACGTGTCGTGCAATCATTTCACTGTGAACTGTCTGGTTGTCTGACACCTCTAAAGGCAGAATGCTACTAAAACCTGAAGCCAGATGCTTTTCTGGAGCTGGTTGAGGGAAGTTTCCAAGATCAGCAAGGTTCATTCTGCTTAAATTTGACCTTGATGCTGTGAAAATTTTGATTTGAATTTATAGCCTTTCTCACAGAAAACCAACTGTGACAAGCTTGCACCTTCTCAAAGCCAATTGTTGATGCATGTGTGCTGTAAAGCAGACTACCTGAACATTTGTCAGCATGTAAAGACATCGAAACAGAGTAGATTTTACTGTCATTTGTGTTAAAGTATCTGAAATTGTGACTAAAAATTTGCTGTATTTTATCATGAAGCCTTGTGTTGGAATTTTTGTGTAATTGCTTTAATTGAATTATATGAACAATGTGAAAACTACTGGAGTGCTACTGTCTTTTTTCTGTTTTATGACGGACGTCTTCTGGGGCAACAAAACAAAGAATTGCATTGATCTGAATGTGTTGTCACCTTAAAGATATACTAAGCAGGATTGTGGGTTATTGTTTGTAAAGGCGGTCAGTGAAAGTAAAAGCTAATCCCAAATCAATCTTTTTTGGAGTTTTGCATCACTTATTGCCTTATTTTTGTGCCGTGTCTCTTGGATGCCTGCTGCTTACAGTCTGGAAAATCCTTAAAAGTATATCTTTAAAGATTCAAGGCAAAGAAAACTCGTGCTTTTTTTTTTTTTTTTTTTTTGAGTTAATAATAATGCATTTTATTTATAGGTGCCTGAGAGAGCACTTGAGAGCACTCAAGGACACCTTACAAGACACGGTTAAAAAAAACAAGCAGCAATGTGTCCATAGATCATAAAATCAAACAATTCCGTAATATACAATAAAAGTTAATAAAATGGGGGCGTCAGTGGCTAAGTGGATAGAACAGGCGCCCCATGTACAGTACAAGGCTGTTGCCGCAGTGGCCCAGGTTTGACTCCAGCCTGTGGCCCTTTGCTGCATGTCGTCCCCCCCCCCCCCCCCCCCCCCCCCCCCCCCCCCCCCCACACACACACATCACTATCCTATCAATTAAAGGCAAAAATGCTCTAAAAAATATCTTAAAAAAAAAGTTAATGAAATGACTAGACAAATAAATATTAGGTATAAGAATCGTCATTATAAAATCATTTAATTCATTTCATTTTCTGCGAAATCTATAAATTTGTGCCTGTTGCTATCGACAGATTTTATTTCAATACATTTAATACATATATCAGTGCATTTATTTTGCTCTTGCCTGCATTTGTATCTTAACCTGAGGTGTTGGAGCACATGCACCACTAGAGGACACAATTTCTCAATGCTCTGATGATGACTGTTATCATTCCTCATACCAGATAGTGTTCTTTCCCCAAAGGCTGCAAAAGATGGGATATTTATCAGATTTTATTGCTGAAAAAAGAACAAATCCTCTTCCCTCTCTGTATTGCTCTAATGAAAGCATCTTTGAACGAGGTATTTAATTCACAAAAGGTCCAAAGTGCTTAGTAACCAAGAGCATGGGGTTAAACTACAGTCAGTTTTACCGTAATATTGAAATATGGCCATCTTATCTTATAATACCTATTGTTCTAGAGTGAATTGCAGCTGCAAGATGTGTGGTTAGTGTTCACCTTATCTATTTTACTGCAATTACTAAGGTTAAAGTCCTCGTCTGCGTCGGCTCAAATGAACAGACATGTCCAGTATTAATATAAATAAATGTCTCAAATATTCTTCCTGTTGTTTTCACAGTATCAGCGATTCTAATGCCTCTTTTTCATCACATCCTCTTTCACTGATTACCCTTTATGTGAGGGCTGAACTAATTTAGCTTGTCTCTTGAACATTGCATAATGAATGCCTCGCATGTGTTGCCATCCATAGAAACTAACCAGAAAACAAGCTGTGAACTCTGAAAGAAGCACTGAAGCTACGCCAAGAGTTTGACTGGATCTCATGAGTCATGACACTAAACAAGTATTTGATTGTCCCAAACACACACACGCACACACACACCAGCTCCAGTAAGTGAAAGCAAACAACTTGTCCCATATCCCCCCTCTGATAGCAGGGCTGAATTATCCTCCACCACTGATAGACTTGCGATAGATAGACATGTTTTTATTGGCTCTGTGCAAACGTTCACAGGCTAACTGTTTCCAGATGGCAGTTTGTGGAGGGCACATATATCATTCAGAGGAGGGGGAGGAGAGAGCATGGAGAGAGAGCAACGGGGGTCTGTCAAAAGCATTCTGCTCTACTGACGAGGGCATTTCCTGTCTGGATTTGGGAGGATTAAGTATTTGTGCGTGGGGGGTGTTTGTATGGTCGGCATGTGGAGAGAGGGACAAAGTACAGGACTTCACAGGACTATAAAGGGATTCTGTACATGTTTGATTTGAGCAACCGTGTTCCTAATGCACATGTGGGAGGAATGGAAATGTATAAAAGCAAAGAGTGATTTAGTGTCAGGGTTTCTATGTTGACCAATCCATTGTTGCCAGATAGTGTTTCAGTCTGAACATGAGTCCTGTTTATTGCATAATTCATACAGGAAGCTGCAAAGTGTGCTTCAGAAAACAAAACAATGCCAGTTACATGTTGTTGTAAAATGAAGTGGGTTTAATTTGATTTAATTTGTGAGATGTTTATTGTGCAAGAGAGTCTTGGGGGTCATAAAAAGGCTAAAAACAGCCTCATTGTTACTTTCCCTTTCTGTCCGTCTGGGTTTATTTTTTAACACAAGTGAGTCTCAAACTTGTGCACAACACAAACTACAGCTCTTTTAATGTACAAGGGTCAAGGTTTGTTACAGCTTGGAGGGGTGGGGGCATATGAAACGGGGTTTGGGGGTCCTCCGCAAGAAAAGTTTGAGCATCACACACAATTTCCTGCATTCTAGGCGATTTTTGTGCACCAATTTGTGCATTTTCTGCATCAATTTATGGTGTAAATGTCTAGGTTTGTTGATGTCCTCTGCTACATACATTTTATGGTGTACATGTTTGCTCCTCATTATTCACTTATATTCTTTCCACCAAGACCACCAGTGTTGAAGCCTAAGTTATTTTTGGCAAGCCCTCACTTCTTTGAGGATAATTTAGGACTAGATTTGTTGTTAGAGTTAGATTTCTGTAACAATTAAGTGAAGTCGAATTATGCATGGACAGTCAAAACTGTTCATAAAGGAAAACAACAGATTGTTCAGTTAGTGCTCATGATTTTGTATTTGGCCTCCACACTTACACCTGAGGTCTGCTGCTTGCTGACATGCCCTGTGTAACAACCAGCCAAATATTTACCCCCTTATCAGATATACTTTTCTTACTTTTCCTTTCTATTTGCTCTCTTCTGTATGGTTAAAGGAAGCTGCCTGTGTGTGTGTGTGTGTGTGTGTGTGTTTGTGTGTGTGAGCTATGTAAACAAAACATTTTAATCATTATCTACTTGTTACAGAATCCAGTTCTGTTTTGAAAGTCCCGTAAATTTCCCTCCGCTGTCAGATTATCTTGATAATCTAAAGCTTTAATTCATCATTGATGGTTTAAGGCCCAAACTTTAGCTTCTGGCAGACAACTAACATGTGTCATGATGGTCATTTGATGAGTGTAAATATAGATAAAAACAGTTTGACCCCTGACATAGAGATGGAAACGATGTGTCAAATCATGGTGACTAATATGTCATTTAAAGACGTCACTGTCAAAACATCTAGGGACAAGTTCATGTAAATCATCATTAATAAAATTGTTAAACGAGAGAAAAAACAGGAGTATATGTCTCCTACATGGCTGCACAAGCTTCCAGTACTTAATTTTAATAACAAAGTTTCCACAAGTTTAAATTTGCATCTAAATTTTGCATAAAACCACAAATGTGAAAAGTGAAACTGAAAATCACTGCCTTCCTCTGGCCAACCCAACTGTGTTGTCACAGTGCACTTCTGCATCACTGCAGCAAGGTCCAAATTTCAAGCACCAGAGATGCATTTTAAAGTGAATCAAACTCACTTTTAAGCAGCATTAATTGACTTATTTGGCCACCTGGGGGCAGCAAACGAAACTGTAAAGGATCACTTGTAAGTTGTTGTGTCCACACACCCCCTTAGAAAAATATCTTATAGGCTCTTTAGCAGCTAAATGCTCCACTACATTCACCAGCTGTGCTTTGTGTGTGCTGTGTGGTGCTGAGCAGGTAGTGTACAGTGGCTTTATCAGACTTTTATTGTTGAAAACTGTAGCAGAGTTTATAAGAGAGAAAGTGAAAGATGCTAAAAAGCTCTGTAAAGTTTAGAGGAACTTCAAAAGTGGGTGATAATTTCCATCACTATGAGTTATCCCTTCCACCTACACAGAGTAATATATGCTCACCGGCCACTTTATTAGATGCACCTGTTTAACTGTTTGTTAACGCAAATAGCTAATCAGCCAATCACATGGCAGCAACTCAGTGCATGTAGACATGGTCAAGACAACCTGCTGAAGTTCACACCGAGCATCACAACGAAGAAGAACAGTGATTTAAGTGAGTCTGAACGTGGCATGGTTGTTGGTGCCAGACGAGCTGGTCTGAGTATTTCAGAAACTGCTGATTTACTGGGATTTTCACACATAACCATCTCTAGGGTTTACAGATGATGGTCCCAAAAAGAGAAACTATCCAGTGAGCAGCAGTTCTCTGGGTGAAAATGCCTTGTTGATGCCAGAGGTCAGAGGAGAATGGCCAGACTGGTTCAAGATGATAGAAAGGCAACAGTAACTCAAATAACCATTGGTTACAACCAAGGTCTGCAGAAGACCATCTCTGAACTAACAACACGTCCAACCTTGAAGCAGATGGGCTACAGCAGCAGCAGAAGACCACACCAGGTGCCACTCCTGTCAGCTAACAACGGGAAACTGAGGCTACAGTTCACACAGGCTCACCAAAACTGGACAATAGAAGATTGGAAAAAGAGAGAGTCTTGATTTCTGCTGCGACATTCAGATGGTAGGGTCAGAATTTGGCGTAAACAACATGAAAGCATGGATCCATCCTGCCTTGTATCAACGGTTCAGGCTGGTGCTGGTGGTGGTGTAATGGTGTGGGGGATGTTTTCTTAGTACCAACTGAGCGTGGTTTAAACACCACAGCCTACCTGAGTATTGTTGCTGACCGTGTCCATCCCTTTATGACCACAGTGTACCCATCTTCTGATGGCTACTTCCAGCAGGATAACGCACCCTGTCACAAAGCTCAAATCATCTCAAACTGGTTTCTTGAACATGACAATGAGTTCACTGTACTCCAATGGCCTTGAGCGTTGAGTGTTTGATTAGTGAAATCTTGATCGGTGCAGCAAAGAGAAAGAAAAACATTTTAGGGGATATTGAAATATTTATCAAATTTTCTTAAAATTTGAGGAAGTGGAAAAAACTTCATTGATGATGTCTGACAGACAGCTTATGGTGTTTCATAAATGGACACATGTTGCTGCTATCAGCACCAATAACTAACTTGTTTCTTTTTCCCTCTGTCCTTTCTACCAGATTTAATTGTAATCTGCAGACCAGTCAGATTAGAAACAGACAAAAAATCCAGAATCAAACATTAACCTGCAGTGGAGAGGGTGAACCAAAGTATACAAAGTCCTTGCAAGTCTGAATCAGCCAAACAATGCGGGCACATGGGAGGAGTTTTCCCTGTAGAAGACCTTTCTGACAGAAATCTATTCACTTTAAACCTAACCACAACTTTTTCTTTAACCTTAACCAATAGACTGTCAGGCTTTCTGGTAGAAAGCCCTCCAGGTAAATGTCTCCTACCTGCACAGTGCTGCTCTGCTTGTGTGCTTGTGTGCATGTGTGCAGGTGTCAGATGAACAGATACTACCCGCCTCCTTCAACACACCCAGAGGACAGGCAGGGACAGGCTGACTTGAACAAGCAACAACCAGTCCTGGTTAACTGGTTTCACAGTTTATCCTCCATTTATAGCTCCATATTACAACCCTTAAATACATATTACAAGTTCCTTACAGCAACTTCTTATTTGGAAGATGACTCAACAGGGGGGAGTGGGACATGACTCTCACTTTAGTTTCTGGGTGGGTTCTTGGGGAGTTTATGTGACATAATTACACCTGGTGGGGTTTTTTAGAGGGAGATGACTGTGATGTTGTTTGTGAGATATCTTTAGCATGAATGTGCCAAAAAAAAAAAGAGAAAGTGAAAGAGTTTCCAGCAGGATTTAAGGGTATTTCTGTCAGTCTGGAGAATTGTCTCCTGCAGCAGATAAAATGAGCAGAACATCAAGTGAAACAATATTTAAGATGTAAAACAAATTACAGTAATTTGGACTCATAAACTCATATCTCTAAATTGTTATCTATGGCCCTATGATAAGTCTGCATGAGTAGGTTATACACACACACACACACACACGCTGAGAGGGTTAACAGAAACACAAAAGGCGGACTGAACTCCACCCATACCGCGTCACTATCGACCTTTCACAGGTGTCACATCCACTTTGTTTCCATGTTCTCAGTCGAGAGAAGGTGATTCCCACACACACACGCCAGCACACACACACATTCACACAGAGTCCTGCTATCTGTCATTTCCTGGATCCAGCGTGTCCAAGCTGCTGTGGAAACTTTCTGAAGTTTGGTGTTGGAGGGAGGAAGAGGAGGAGTGGGGGAGCTCCGGGAGTCTTAACACAGCGGTCGCCGCTGCACTCACACACGGATCAGCTCGGCTCTGAACTCCGGGGATGTCGGCCGTCAAGGCGCTGCAGCAGTGGTGCAAGCTCCGGTGTGAGGGCTACCGGGATGTGTCCATCACCAACATGACCACGTCTTTCAGAGACGGCTTGGCTTTCTGCGCGCTCATCCACAAACACAGACCCGATCTCATGTGAGTAGTGAAACCAGAAGACTTGACAACACGCAGGGACTGAGTGGTTTTCCTAGTGTTGTAAAACACCAAGCAGTGCCAGATGTATTCTGGCTATTTATATATATATATATATACAAACTATAGAGGAGAAGGAGTCCATTGGTTTTACTTCCCAGCTTTATGGTAGGGTTCAGCTGTTCTTTAATAGAAGGGAACAAACTTCAGCTTCATGGGTCTGCTGGAAAAACAGGAACAGCAGCTCAGATGTGGACTGAAGAGCTCAGTGACCGAGCAGGGCCAAAATACAACCAGAGTGGCCCCCCTGAGGTCTGCAGCGAGGGCCACTAACCATGTAGTGTTAGTGGAGTCTGTATGTTTTACACTTGGATTGGGTTTTATTATCTTTATTGACTAATTTTACTGGACATCATAATCATCTTTTTAGATTCTCAGTATTATCCTCAGGATTTAGGACATACTGACAGAAATAGAATATAACCATAGAATAAGTATGTTTTCTTTAGTGTACAATCACCTGAAAATAATAATTGTTGTGTTTTTGTTACCTTAGAATGAACTGTTTCAATCTGCATAGTCATGTTTTACAGTAGCCCAGAATAGACAAACCAAACACTGGCTCTAGATAGGGCCATTTACGTTTATATGTCAGCCACTGTGTGTAAGCAGCCCCTCCCTAACAAGAGCGTTGGAAAAAACACTGATTTTTTTTTTGTAGCGTGAAACCACTTTATTCAGTTTTTTTAGGGGTTTCAATCACCAGGTTTGTTTGTTTAGGAAAGGAGTGTACTTCTCCTGTATAAGTAACACTGAAGGAATTCTAACCAGGAGAACTTTCATCCGGTTGCAATCTGCAATCCTCACCAGCAGATGTCACTAAATTCCCGTCGATCTCGCACACTGTTACTTTAAAGCTCAAGACTTAAACTTGACTTAAAGGACTTGAGACTTAACTCCCATAAAAACAAGTTGAACTGAGGCTTGTAAGCAACATTCAGATCTCAGGCTTTGATCTGGTAAAATCCTGGAGGATCAAGCCATAAATGTAATGTAATCACTTCTGAATACTCAGTACTGAGAATTAGATGCAACTGAATTAATAGCACAAAAATATATTACTTTAAAAACCATGTATCTGAATTTATATGGTCTGATCTGCATCATCAAAGTAAAATTCAAGATGAAATCATCTTCATATGAACTTACAACTTGAACTTAACAAGGCTGAGTAATTGAGCCTTAGTCATTATTTTCTTCCATTACAGCCACCCATCTTGCACACTGAAGTATTAGGCCTGTACATGGAAAGATCATGGTGTCAAGCAATGTATTAAAAAAAAAAAAACCCAGTTGTTGGAACATCATTAAGCAATCACAGACTTATTGTTGATGGGCATATTGCTTAAAACACGACTTGCCATTGCTTCAAAAGGCTCAAAAACTAACAGCTAATGATGTTTATGATCATTAAATAATCTCTTGATTATTTTTTGGCCAACATTGGCTGCAAAAATGAAAAAAAAAATCACCTCACCTCTCAGAGCCTCCATACTTGATTCTTTTTTTTTTTTTTTTTTTGCTTATTCCATAAAATATATGACAGTAATGGAGAACGCCCCAGAGCCGGTGGTGGTGTCTTTATAATGTTTGTCTTTTCTGGCAAACAGTGCGCAACCCAAATATGTTCAGTTTTTAACTTCATGAAATGGAGAACAGCGGCAGGTTTTCGACATTTGAGAAGCAGAAATTATTGTATGTTTGGATATTTTGAGTGTTAATAACTTAAACTTGTAAGTAACAATCAAAAATTGTGCCTATTGACGTGAGTCGTTTAGTCAACTAAACATTTCAGCTCTTCCTGTCTCTGTGGCCCCTGCTACTTATTATTTGGATGGACTAGGGTGCACTTACAGATTAAAATTAAAGTTACTTTGAATGTCTTACAGTTTGATAATGTGTTACACACCCACTCCAAAAAACCACCTCCTTCCTTCAGGATTTCCTGATAACTTCCCGCCAGGGTTTATTGGTTAATATTTTTTACTTGACAGCTGAAAAGTCTTTTAGCACAAGATATTCTGAATAAGATCTGTCCATGTTAGGCTTTGGGTTGAATATTCCAAAGACTTGACTCACCATCTCTTGTTGAGCTTTGGCCAGTTTCGCACAGAGATGCCTGGGTTTGTTCCAGGCAGGCCATTATGGAAGACAGACAGTAGTTTCATTTTAAGTTGAGACACAGCTGCTCCAGTGCTTTCCATTCCACTTTTTCGCTGCAGCCAGATGAGCGTGGCGGCACATTTCATGTTTACATGGGCTGAAGCTTTAAACGTTGGTTAAAGGCTTTGCTTCGGTTTACTGAACATAGACATTGTAATGCCTTTATGAATGCAGGCTGAGCTTTCTGTAAGGTTCAGCTGTATGACAAACTGACATGAGATCATATGACACCACAGCGGTCGTGTAATGAATCGATCTGTCACACTGTCAGTGTCATGATATGTGTTCATATGTGTGCATGACTAAATGACACATTTTTGGTCCAGACTGCTGGTAAACAAACGAATGAGGAAGGGAAGTTGGATCACATGTTTTGTTACTAATTTTTTCCCATCCTCTGTTGCAGTGACTTTGATTCACTCAGGAAGGAGGATGTTTATGAGAACAACAAATTGGTAAGAAATGTTTACATGCTGCATTTTGACCTTTTTATTTGATGTTGTTTCGGATTTTTTGTTCAGACAAACTCTTGTTACCTGGAGTACACACAGCTTTTTGGTATAGTAGATCTACAGACATTCATGGTCTCCAGAAGAGGAATCCACCTGACTTAAAGGGATACATCACTCCCTAAATGATCATTTGTATGTTACTTATTCACAATGTGTTGAATTTCCACATTCACATCCACAGTGAACGAAGAATCCAAAAAACAGGGAACATTCTTGATTATTTTAAGTCTTTGGGGTCTGTATTTAACAACAACAAAGCCATATCATACGCAGCACAAGTGCGCTCCTCATCCATGCGTGAGACTGTTAATGCGGTTGTGTGTATGTTTTGAATGGTTTTAGCAAAAATGCATGTTTTTGGGAAGTACTGAGCATACAACTGGTTAAATAAGTTGTGAATTATAGTTCTGTGAGTCTGTAAACAGATGTTTTGATTTAATTTTGCTTTTGTTAAACGCGGACCCCTATGACTTAAATTCAGCAAGAATTTTCTCGGCCATTGGATTCTTTATTCACTGTGGAGATATGCAAGAAAAACAAGGTTTTCCTCAAGATGTCAGCGTAACATGGGATGAGTACATGATGAACAAATAATCAGTTAGTGGATGAAGTATTCCTTTAAAGGCTCCCTGTGGAGTTTAAGACCTCTAGTTTCAATATGGAGCTGTTTGTCCATTAGTGGGTCCCCGATTTGTTTATTTCGAGTGATACAGTCGCTCTAGGTGTCACACTATTCCACTAATCAGCAGGTGGCAGTAACATGCTAAGATGTGTTGCAATGTGTCAACAAAGACATTAAGGAAGACCACAAGCTCTTAAAAATGGATGTAATCAATGCAGGGTATAAAATACTTCTAGCAGGATTTAGGGGCATCTGTGGGCAAAAGTGGTATATAATATTTATCACTAAGTTTTTGTCAGTTTATAATGACCTGAAAATAAGAATAAAGACTGTACCAGACTCCGAATTATGTCAGTCAAATCAGATTCAGCAGTTTAATATGAATATTTGACAAATTGTTTTTGCCATATGAAGTTTTAAAGTTTGGACGGGGCTCAGCGGGACGTTCAATGTGACAGTAGCATTCACGTAATAAAGTAAACAAACTAAATGCACTAACGAAGGATCAGAAATGTGCAGCAACATTTTGTGCTGACACTAGATATCAAACAAAAGCCAGAGACTGTGTTGTATTACGTTGCTGTGAGCTGTAAATTCACCACAGAAGGCAGAAGATAATGTTATTTTGGAGCCTTACACTGCAGTCTCTCTTCCTTCCTGCTGCTGCATCACATCTGTAGCTGTCTGTACTAAAGAGTAGCATGGAAGTCAAGAGCGCTCACGCTGCAGAAACCTCCTTAATCACAACTAGCAAAATCTGGGGATCAAAACAGAAGTACACTGCACAGCACAGTGACTATCAAACCGACATAAAATAAACCCCACGAGTGCTCGACTTAAAGCAGTCTCAGCTGACTGATGGGTCTCTGACTGATGATTCAAATCTTTGATTTTTGGGGGCAGCCCTAATGAGAATAATTATATATTTTTTACCTTAAAATAAGTGTCTATATTTACATGCAGAGTGGGTCCTTCTCCACGGAGTCTGCCAAGTTTCCTACAGTAGCCCACAATGGCCAAAACAAACACTAGCTCTAAGTAGGGCCATTCGTGTTTCTGTGTCAGCCAGAAGCGACATCCTCCGGGGCTGAAAAATGAAGCCAATTTGGAAGTGTCAAGAACTGCAGTTAACTGAATGACCTCTTGAGGCTGACTCCAAAACAGAGTTAATCCCCAGAGCCCCCCATGTTAAAATGCCCAACTTTACAGCAGAAATAAACACATTTTCAGCCTGGTTCGAAAAACAGTTTTGGGCTCTATAGCTTATTTTCCCCTACATGACAGCTGTACGGAGGTTAAATTTTTATAGATCTTACCTGTTTACATTTTCATTATGGCTCAAGGTTCTGCATATTTAAGGGTGGGGCTGCTTGAGTGACAGGCTGGCTTCAAGGTGTCACTACAGTTTATGAGTCAGTCCCACCCCTTGCTCCTCTGCAGCTCCAGCCTCTCGTCCAAATATGGTTACTTCTGGCTCCAAAAAAACCAAACAAGATGGCAGTGGCTAAAATGCCAAACTCAAGGCTTCAAAACGGCAGTCCACAAACCAGTGGGTGCTGTTATGGAAGCTATGTCCATTATTTATACAGTCTATGGCTGGGCACTATAGTTCTCCCCTATAGTTCTCCCGTACGTAGATGTCACTAAATCCTACACACTGTGCCTTTAAATCAAGCCAAAAATTATTGAGGAATGAATTGCTAGTAAAAGTAAATGTACCTTGCAGGCATAAATTGCTGCTACGTGCGTGTTGGCTCTGGATATTACATCAGCACCACTTAATGTTAGGTAACTGGGAATTTTCTAAAACATCAGAGTTCAAACATAGCTGAGAGGAGAAGTCATTGCCAAATACAAAGTGTTTCAGTCTGGACACTTTGACGTGGCTGCTTTATGGCTTTCTTTACTTTCACTTTCTCTGAGGAGCTCCATAACTTGACTCTGAGCTCTGAAACGGACACAAGATCAACATCTGTTGCTCTTTGAAGTGATATTAAACAAAAGCCCAAATTAGCAGCCATTGGTTGACACTATTCAGGATCAGCTGAGACAAATGAAAGGAACAGATCGGTTAAAAACAACAAGCTGTAAGAGATTAAAGGGCACAGCAAAGTAAACAGTGTTTTTATGGCGCACCTGATCATCAGATTACTGATTAAGTTTTGCCTCTTGTAGGTACTCTTCAGGCCTGCCTCTGCTTGTCGTCTTTTATGCTTCCATGAAATCGCTGAACTTTGGAAATTCCTGACTCACTTTCTCTCTCAACACATAAGGTGTAGATTCAATCTGTGGCCAGAATTTTACCACAACAAACCAAAGGGAATTTATTTAGGATATGCAAAAAAACAAATATGGATGATAGAAAACATTAATTCCAACACACAAAACACACGTCCACATCCAAAGGTAGGATGGACATCTAGGAATACAAATGGAAACTTTTTCAAAACTGCCAACATGTATTTGCGCTCTTGCTTTCCTCAGTGTCAAAACACACTGATTTTGGCCAGAATTCATTTGAGAAAAAAAAAGAGAAGACCCACTTAAAGTAAAGCTTTTCAGTTTCCTTTTGACAGAAAACTTTCTGTGGGACACTCACAGTGCCAAACATGCACTTGAATACTAAGCAGCTTAAGTCTTGTTTAAAGTGTGTTAAGATGCAGAAAGTCATGTTGAGGTCTCAGAAAGTCAGATCTGCTTTTCATGTGATTTATTGGTCCATTTCGATCTTTGGCCACCGGGTCTAGAAGCTAAAAATTCACCCTGAGCTGCATCTGTTTTGTTGGATAAAGCCGATGTTTTTTGCAGGCCTTCAAGGTTGCGGAGGGGGAGTTGGGAATTCCAGCACTGCTGGATGCAGAAGACATGGTGGCTCTTAAGGTCCCTGACCGCCTCAGTATCCTGACATACGTCTCACAGTACTACAACTACTTCCATGGACGCTCCCCGAGTGAGTATCAGTGTCTTGCTGTGTTCGCCTCTGCCTTTGTTCCCTTCTTCCTGTCTCATGTGTCTCTATCACTCTGTTCATCCATGTGTTTGCAGTTGGTGGTATGGGAGGTATAAAGCGCCCAGCTGATGCTCCCACAGAGGAACCGTCTGGGAAGAAGAACCAGCCGGTGGTGGCGAAGGTGTTTCCCTCTTCCATCCCTGCCAGAGAGAACAGCCCTCCCCCCTCCTCCAACATCTCAAAGCCCTCTCCTTCCCCAAGACAAACCAGAAATGCTACAAAGGTAATCTTTGCTGCCTGAATATCTTACACAAATATTTGCAAAGCCAAACTCATTAAAGATGACCCAAATACCTACGCTGCTCTGTTGTGTCAGTGCAAAACCGCTATTGCAAAACAAATAAAAATCCCACATTGCCTCAGATGAGTTTCAGTAAGTATGGTAATACTCTCCTAAACATTTACACATTCTCTCTTCCCCTCTTTTAGGATGTTGTGGTTGAGAAATCCCATCAGACAGGCACCCTGAGTAACAAATGTGTGTCATGCAACAAGCACGTTCACCTGGTGCAGCGACATCTAGTGGACGGGAAGCTCTATCACAGGAGCTGTGCAAAGTAAGGACCCACAGATGAATTTAATTATAACTGATGCTTATAGAGTTGAGAGTGTGCCACCAGAACGATTAGAGACGCTTTTATTCTCAATTAAAATCAAAGTTAAAAAAAGTTAACTAATTGATAAATCTGAAAAAGCAATTATAAACTGATTAATCAATTTGCATTTAAATTATGCATTAAAAGAGTACACCACTGATTTTCATTGCGCTCCTATAACAGTGTTTGACTCACAATGGACAATTAAGGGAAGAACACAATCAAAATTGTCCATTTGTGTGACATTTACAGTTTACATTTCATGAAAAATCAGTCCAGCATATGACACCCTCCATCCTTACACCCTTAGCAGCAGATAAGAGAAAAATCCTCCACCAAAAAACCCTTTAATTAGAAAAAATGGTAGAAACCTCAGGAGGAGCAACTGAGGAGGAATCCCTCTCCCAGGATAGACAGAGGTGCAATAGATGTGTGTACAGAACAGACCAATGTAATAATCCATATGACAAAATGATACATAGAATGTTAACATATATGGAAAATCTCTATAACCTGAAAATACAAGGCAACATCATGTTTACAGTGATGTGGGAAATATAAAGGCATAAATAATCAAAAGTGAACTCTAGGCTGTTTGGAAAGTCCTTTATCGTTCTTCCTACCACAGATGGTAGAAATCCGAGTATTACACACTACAACAATTATATGTCTTGTGCTTTCTGTCTTCTAGGTCACTGTCGTCCACAAACACACCTGCACCTTTCAAAGATTTACCCACAAACACCCCTGTTTCCAAGTTTACACCTCTACCAGACTCCACCAAAACAAACACAACCACTACCACTCACACACCCTCCAGAGCGAGACCATCATGGCTGACGGAGAAACCCAGCACCCCTCCCAGCTTCTCCTCCACTTTCTCGACTCCATCTCCTTCCCAGCCAGCTTCAAGTCTCTCCTCTGCTTCTAAAGACTCTCAGACATCCGTTGTCTCCAAACCCACAGCTTCACGGACTACTTGTGAATCTACCTTCACCACAACAACCACTTCTATCAACACCAGGCCCACTGCTGCTCCCCGTACCTCCACCACGGCTGCGAAGACACAGCAGTCCAAGCTTAAGTTCTTACAGTCAGATAACACAGCTAAAGATGAAGAGAAAAAGACGACAACTGTAAAGTTTGACATAAATAAAGGGACGAATGTGACTAGTAAGGTGCAGGAGGCCACAGCAGGGCAGGCCGTCACTGTGGTTGTAAATGTTGGTGGTCTTGGCCAAAAGGAAGCAAATAAGAGCTTGAACACAGGTGGGGAGAAAGCTAAAGCAGCAGGTGTAAGTGGAGATTCGAAGGCTAAAGCAACGGCAGCAGCCTTCATCTCCAAAAAACTGGCTGAGGAGAACAACAATAACAACAGCAAGCCATCGTGGACGAATGTAGTGTTAAAGAAAACTGACAAGTAAGTAATCTAACCACACTCACATGACTAGACTTTATGGTGTCGTGCTGCAGCCTGACCTCTACTGGTGAATAACAGCATTTAATAACACTTCATCTCCAATCAGACCTTCTCAAGTGGAGACACCAAAGAAGGAGACAGAAGGAGTCAGAGGGAGAGTGAGGCTGAAACCAGACCCGTCAATCCTCGCCGACTTTCAGATTCCGACAGACACCCGGACTCCGAGCCCATCCGGCAAGAGTGGAGTCAGAGCAAGAACTCCAGACAGAGGCAGCCCAAAGCCCGGCAGGGCATCACCCAACACCTCAGGTTCAACTCACACACTTTAATAACTGCACAGAGTAGTTAAACCTGTTTTAATGCGTGTTCTTGTGGGTGTGTTTTGGAGCAGTGAGTGGGAAAGCCTGATCTGTGTACGGTATGATCTATCAGAAAGCACTGGTCGTATTATGATATGGCAAATGCATGCAAAATCACACATTAAGTGAAATTAATGTTCAAAGCTGTGAGCTGTGTTGAATTACATGACAGGAAACTCGTCGTGTTAAATAATTAGTTCAGCTTGCTCAGCACCATAAAGTCATAAACTTAATCCAGAGTGGGATTGTTGTGCATCGGTTGCAATACAAAGTGGGAAGGAGTGCAAATATATAAAATATGGAAAAAAACAAAATATATATGATAAAAATTAACAGCAAGGTGCAAAAAAAAACTGTGAACAGGTTAATAGTGAACAATGACACAACATGATTTTGTTCAAGTTCAGTTTGGCTTCATGTTTTAATAGTTGTTCAGATGTAACACAGTAATACAGGCTCAAGGGTTCACTAGCTTTCCAGAGCTATTAACCCACATCTCATGGTCTTCTTCTGTAAATTCTACATTGTACATGAAGAAGACCTTGCACAAAGAAAAGCTACACAGTGTACCTTGAATTTGTATTAGTTTCTTACACATTCTGTTCACAGAGGTAAAGAATGAACTTGTCATTGTGTTGTGTAATAGATCCCTTTAGGAAAAATGTCCATTTGCATTCCATGGGATTTTTTTTTTGGGGGGGGGGGGGATTTTTTAATGGTTGACATACTCATTGATGCCTCGATGACAGCTCTCGTGTTATTTTCATGGTGCTCAATAAGTGTCACTGTTGGAATCAGAACACACAGCAGGTTATAGTTAATGTGGACTTTTTATTTTGTTCTTCCCCTAAATTTGACCTGCTGTCGGTGGCAAATAGCTCTATCAACGAAACGATAACAACAGGAAGTGACACTGGATAGTTGATGGGTGTGATTCATGAGCTGAACCCGAAAGTGAAAAACACTCAAGATTTGTTTCATTTCCTTTCTCTCATCAGCATCAGAAAACAACGAGTCTCCTGCAGACTGGCGGTCAAAGCTGAAACCCATCTCCAAGTAAGATGTGTTATATTGGCATTATCTTTTTCTGTGTTTCCTCCATGTTCTGTGTTTCTGGTTAATTCCTTGCCCTTGAAACTTGCTCAGTTTCTACTGTCATACCTCCAGCAGGGAGTATCTGTACGTGGGCGGGCTTCACAGCGTATCAACATCTCTTATCTCTCCTGATGTCCTGTCCATCCATCCATCCTTTGATCCTGTCTTTCATCCATCTATCCAACCTTGCCTCCCTCAGGAAGCCTGTACCTGCTGCTCCTCCAAATGGCTCAGCCATCATTTGTAGTCAGAGCTTTCAGTCTCTCCTCTTCCGCCACATGCATGTGAGCCCCAAATGGTGTCAAGACTGAGTAGAGTCCTCCGTGGTGCAACATATGCTCAGTGCTCAGTTCCTTTCCCCCGGATGACCTTTCCTCCCACACTCATGAATCAAAAGGAAGCACTGTAGAAAAGGGGACTACTTGTAGGAGCAGATAAATTGCCATTAATTAAATTCTGTCTCTCTTTTTCTCTTTTCCTGCTCGTCCTCTATCCATCCACAGACCGGCTGTTCCGTCACAGCCCTCGCCGAAACCATGGGCTAATGGAGCCGGAAAGCCTCAGACTTCAGAACTGTCCGTTGGGCCTTCTCCCTCCTCGCATCCTTCGACCCCGAGCATTTCTGTCACTCCACCTGCATCAAAGGGTAACACCTTATTCTGCTTAAATATGATCCACTAAAAAGAAAGAAAAAAATTTGTACATTGCTATCTTGTAGCCAATCTTCTTTTATTATATATGGATAGGACAATGTTTATACCACAAATGGTCTTCCTAAAAATTAGCCAAACATGATTCAGACCTCTCAGGGTTGCCTCCCTCTTTTGTCTTTGTTCTTAGTGGGTTTATATCAATTTTTTGTATTTTATCTCTTTTTATTTAAGGATTCCAGAATGGTCAAAAAGATCTGACTGCAAATGGCACCAAGACAGAGGCAAAGATTTCCAAGGTACCTGAACCGTCAATGGAAAAAAAATTCTTTAGTTCATACATCATCGTTCAGTTAGACTGAGCTATAGACCTATTCACTGTATAAGCTCTAATATAGCTAAAGCATTTAACGCTAACAAATTAGCAAGTACATAGAAGTGGTTAAGTGTGTAACATTACCAAAACCAAAATAATAGGAACACTAAGTAGTTGATAGATAAAATGAGCTAGTGAAAGACATATAGAATAATAAAATTAAATAACATTTAATTTATTTAATCTACTGATTGGTGTTAAAGAGAAAAAAATACATTTCTCTTATAACCAACTGATTGAAGGATAGGAAAACCTTTTACACTATCAGCCAGCAGTCATTGTAAGGCTGTTTGTGAGTGTCTGCTGCCCTAGTTTTTGTGGTGTGTCCTGCATCGTTGGCGGTAGTAGGCCCAGTCTTGTTTTCATCCAATTAGGCTTGTTGAATAGGTGTCAGAGATGAAATTACTCTGATTGGCCGTTCAGCTCAGTGCACAAGAAGAGACGCTGAACTGAGGAAAGAAAAAAAAAGGCTAAAGTCAAGAGGGTGTGAGATTGAAACAAACTTGTTATGTAAGGTAAGATTATTTTTGTAGTCATTGAGTCATTCAGCAGAAATGGTTCATACTTGTTTGAGTTATAGTTCGCTGGTGCACAGTGAATATCCTCTGTTGTTTTAACATTGGGATGTGTTGTCAATGAGCTAACTGGCTAACTAGCATCCTAAATGTGTCCTGTTGGTCGTCTGGTTTCCTTTTTTAGTGACAAATACAGACTACCTCCACCTGCTGGTATGGAGAGTTATTTCCTCTCACGCAGGTGCAGAATGTACATGTGGTTGGATGTTAGCTGGAGCATAGATATCAAAACATACACGTATATTTGTCTCTGGGCTGTAGTCTTTGTGGTGTGTTCAATGCAACATTTCAGCCGAGACACAGGTGACAAGAGTTGACGCAACAGTCGGCCTTCTTGATCCATGTTTTGGTTCACATCCTCCATTTTAATTTTTGCATATATGTGTGTTACGTCTGTAGACTAAACCAGACTACATTCCCAAAGACGAAATCATAAGGGAACTGAAGGAGATTGAAGATAATTTGAACGAGTGGGAGAGGAGGGGAGTGGAGCTGGAGGTGAGGCTCCGCAGCTCTGAAGAAGGTGAGATAAACACACTCATTATTGTATGAGCCCTCTCGGATTTAGCAGAAGATGTGTATATGGGATTAAACTCTGTGTGTTTGTGTGTCAGAGGGCGTAGATGACTCTCTCATGGATGGGCTCATGGTCGAGTGGTTCAACTTGATCAGGAACAAGCAGGTGGCCATGCGCCGGGAGTCTGAACTGGTCTACATGTGAGTACGCCCACATACACACAACGCACTTAGAAAAGGGGCATGCCACTATTTAGCGATTAGAGAAACAGACTTGTGGCCAGAAGGTTGACAGTTTGAATTCCCAGTGTCCTCCCTCCCCCGTCCCACAGCAGGGCGTCCTGGAACGAGACGGCTCAGCGCCCCACTGGCTGCAGCGTGAAGCAGGATGCTATTTAACAGCACACATGCACCGCAATTATTCCTTTCATAAATTCATGTTAAACCTCTACCAAGGCCACAACCCTGCAATTTTATGTATATAACAAAAAATATTGAGAACATTTTCTGCTTTTGAATCTAGATTTGCATTGAAAAACAGACAGACAGTTTTGTGGGGAACTGAGTTAATGGACATTAAATCGATAGTTTATGTTATCAATGGATTTGAGTTGATGTGTAGTGTGAAAGAGGTCGCTCATGGTGACAAACCTACAGAGAATGATCACCCACCTGCACCTGCGTGTCTTACTGTCTTTAAGCTTATTGGTTGGATGGGACCAAGTCATTGTTTTGCGAGTCACAACTAAGTCTCAAGTCCTAAACTTTGAGTTTTGAGTCCTAAACAAGTCATAATGCGCTCTTCATCAAATGTAATGCATTTTAACAAAAGATAAATAGATTCAATTTACATAAAATGCTTTTTTTAAAATGTGTATTTACAGTATTTATCAAAACAAGTTTTTGCGCCTCCTTCTGTAATCTTTGCCTGTTTTGCATATTGCGATTTGTTTTTTTGTGGATGACTGTGTAGTTTTTGTACACAAGCGAAACTATCATTGGTATAGTTTTTTCCAACTAGCACTCAGTAAGGTAACATTGTTTTGTCCTGCAACTTGACCGGATGTTGTCAGATTGGTTTAAACAAAGTGGATCTGATGAATTAAGTGCTGACTTGCTTGGAATAAATAGTGTTAATAGTGTTAGTAGATTTCATAATTGAAGGAAAATTTATTGATTTGTGGTACTTTTTAAAGAACGTACTATTTAATCTTTGGGCTCAGAGAAAGTATCAAGTATTTAGTTTACTTACTTAGTTGAAAGTCTTTTTTGATTTTGTTAATTTGAGTCTATAGTCATCTGATTTGTGACTCAATTATGATTCAATTCAAAGTCATATGACTTGAACCCACACCTCTGGTTTTGACACACTGCAACTTAATTGTTTCAGTCCTATAAACCCAGTGTACAATACCTGCCCAGCACCAAATGGGAGACAGGTGAAGTTAATGACAGTCTAGTGAACATTGTGCATCAAGCAGCACAAGAGCTAGATATTTTTCTCAGACCAAAATGGAGCTAAAGGTTGAGTGAATATTGGACTTACCTTCAAATACATTTTTTCTGTTCTGTAATTGCTGGATATCTAAATGAGCAATAACTATAAATTTAGACCAATGTTGGGTTTACAGCTTATTTCTGCTGCCCCCAAGTGGCCAAGTGAGCTAATGCAGGTTTAAATAAATCATAGATAGGGTGCTGTTTTACCACCTGTATATGTGGCTCAGGAGGAAGATGGTAGATAGAGGTACAGTACATACTAAAGATTGTAATGTGCTTTGTCTGGCAAGGTAGAAAAGCATTACAGTATATAAATGTGGTCTTTTTTCCATTTATAGTTTGAATTCCATCAGTGTATAAATCTTATCAGTAAATACATTAGGTGCAGTGTATGTTTTTTTTTATAATTCTGGCAATTTATGTCGAATAGGCCACACCCATTTGGACTTTGGCCAAATTTTACACAAAAATGAAATGAATATATCACAGGCAAATGTTTTTGTGCTGTCCTCTGAACACCAAATTTAGTGAAGGTTGGATAGATTTGTGAATTTTGTGAGAAAAAAAATGGTGGAAAAAGTTGAGCATGAAAGTCCAGTCCGGACCTTGGCTATAGAAGTTTGGCAAAATGATCTTAACTCCGTGTCATTAATCTACTCAGTGTAGGCTACTTAATGAAGCTTTCAACCAGAGATCATGAAAAATGTGTTAAGGCAGTGATGGTACAGCTCATCTGAATACTTTCGGAACTGAGGCAAAACTAGATTTATCAAACAACAAGATAATAGACATACAATTCTACATGACAGTAACAAATACAACATTTTAAATTCATATATTGTTTTGTGTGTAGTGGAAGGACCCAGGACCTGGAGGAAGAGCAGCCCAGTGTTGAGCAGGAGCTCAGACGACTGATGGACAAACCAGGTGAGAGTTTGAGGGAACTCATTCAACACAAGACACAACATGAAACAGACCTGAGATTAAAATGTGTTTCTGTTTGTACAGAACATCTGAAAACAGCCTGGGACCGGAAGAGAGAAGAGCAGCTGATGGCCAAACTGGTGGAGATCGTCAATGACAGAAACGCTATAGTAGATGGTCTGGACGAGGACAGACTCAGGTGTGTATACAACTATAGTGGAGGCTAAGCTGCTGTTATTTATAATGATTAGGGTTGCAACAGTATGAGTTTGCAAAGTACTGTTGTTGTCATTTGCTCGTGGTTAGCAGATGTTATATTTCTTTCGTCATGAACTATGTGGATTATCTTCAACAGCACAAATTTCAAAGTCTCCCCTTTGAAGTAAAAATTGATTAAACACGTTGGTGCCCACCAGCTGCAGGATAATGTTATAAAATCCAAAATGTTAGTAAAAAATAATTGGACTGGAGTGGTGCTAGCTAACAGCTAGCTTGTCAGAGAAGACGCTTTTGAGCCTCCTGTGTGTGTTATTCAGAGCTGATTCCACCTGGTCGAGAACAGACTTTCAGGATCTCAAGCATTTTTATTAAGAGGATTATCAAACATAAAAGCAGCAAGACAACACAGTAAAATTTGGGGACTGAGGTTTGTGCTCAGTCTGGTTATCAACCTGGTTAAACTGTGTGGGAAATGTGAAATTGCGTGTTGTGTAAAATTGTATAATTTTCTGGCCTTGCAAGGTCCAAAGCAGCTGTTGCCCCACCGTTTTTTCTACCTAAAAACAGCAACAGATTATGTTGTTGATTTTAGATGGTTAAGAATTCTTCTGGATGACATAATGTTACATGGACAAGAGGAAGTTAAGTGGAAAATTGTTTGTAATGTATGAAATTCAGGGTTTTAGGGTCCATATTGAGTGTACACAGGACTCTTAGCTCTTTTTTATACACATTTTCACGACCTCAGTTTAACTCAAAATGTGTTTTACTTACTTACTTAATGACCCTGAATGGAAAAGGCCTCCGAAACAAGCTAAAAGTAAAGTTGTCCCAATGGGGCATCAGCAGGGGAGATACCAAATACCTGCTGATGTCTGTGAGTCCGAGACTTTAGACACTTGTTGAATGCAAAGGATTTTACCTTAAATGATAAATATGAATGCCTGCACTTTTCAGCTGATGTGGATTTGAAACCCTTAAAATTAAAGCTGGACGTCGGCACTTCACCCTCACAGTAAAGCTCAAACTATTATTTCATGAATTTGTTACAAAGGTTTATAATCATTTAAGTTGTATATCGAGGAAAAATGCTAAATGTTCAGTGTTTACAGGTTCTCAGATTTGAGGAATAGTGCTTTTTCTCAATTTTATATCACTGTAAATTGAATATCTCTGGGTTTTGGACTATTTGTGAGACAAAACAAGCAGTTTAAAGACATTACTTTGGCTCTGGGAAATTGTGAATGAAATTGAAATGAATAAATAAACTAAAGAAACAATTAAATCGATAAAGAAGAAATGATTAGCATCAGCATTATCTCATGGTCGTTGTTTGGTTTCAAATCCAGTGTACTTGAGTGTAGAGACAACATAACAAAATGTCACTGCACAGTTCTCACGTTAGGGCTGCCCCCGACTAAGAATTTTCCTTGTCGACCAATAGTTGTCATTTAGGGCCATTAGTCAACCAGTCGCCTGCATGTTTACGAGATTAATTTAATCATTAAATTATATATTTTGGGCGGGGCAACACAACTGTTTGAGTTTAAGGTGTAAGAAAGAATAGTATCAGTAACATTGTTAACACTGTGCTACATTACCTGTTAATGACGCTGTCGGCAAAGCAGTAATGATTGTGCTAAGTGGCTAATGGGCATGTAGCTACTTACATGTTTCAGATGATACGTCATGTTTGTAGTCGATCAATGAAGATGACTTTACATATCATCTTGGGTTCGTCCTTCACTTTCTCAAAATGATCCCACACTTTGGATTTCCTGCCCAACATGTTATTAACTAGCCTGTGGAATAACCACAGGTACCAGCCCTGGAAATTAGGGGCCGTACACGTGCCACGCCACGTCAGTGCAGAGCTGATCTTCTGCCAGGCGCTGTTTGTAGTATGTAGGCCTATCGTCCTTGGGACAGATGTAAAGCTCTGGGTAGCCCTGCACCAAAATGATCAACTTTTCCGTTATCTATCAGACGAATATTTACAGAAGAAGGGAAAGATGTCTGTCAGCTGTGATTGGTTTGTAACGTGACTCCTGTCTAACTGCTGAGCGTGGCCACTTCCTGTGTCTGTCCTTTCAAATTAAATTCCCACACAGTCCAGTCATATAGGTTTTGATTTATTTTGACATGGTGCAGCTCCTAATAGAGCTTCCCTTTTGTTTTTTGTTTTTTTCTGCGACTAAGCAGCCAATGAAATCTTACCGACTAATGACCTTTCTGGTCGACCAACGTTTAGTCGACTATTAGGGGGCAGCCCTATATTCCATTGAATGTATGAATACAGTATGTTCATACAGGTGTGAACTGATGTTAATCTGTTTGCTTTTTGTGCGTTTTCTCAGGGAGGAAGAGGAGGACGAGCAGCTAAACAAGATGATGATGAATTTCAGTGAGTATCTCCCAACACCTCCACAGGCCGTCTGCCCCCCCCCCCCCGCTCTGTTCATTAGTTATCACAACCCCGATGTCACTGCAACTTAGTTGGCTTATAAATTATCCAATTGAGGATTTCCATCATGGGTGCCTCTAATTGAAGTAGATAGAATTCTCATTGTGGTTTATGGAAGTGTGTGTGTGTGTGTGTGTGTGTGTGTGTGCGTGCGTGTGTGTGTGCGTGTGAGAGTGTGTTGCATTTTTAAGGGTGCCACCGGGCGATGTTTTCATCTCATTTGATCTAATGACTGCTAATGGAAAAAGCATCAAACAAAATGCTCCCCCTCTTTTTGTCAGCGGCATTTCCTATTAGACAAATGGATAATGTAGCTGGTTAATTTGACCCTCTGATAGAATAGAGTTAAAGCCGCCTTCATTTGCAATTCATGACCGGGAAAGCAGGGCTGAAAATTGAGGAGATTTATTGAACTTCAGTGAAAGGTCGTTATGTTGCAGCGAGTGAATGCCGACCGTGGGCTAAAGACTAGCCATTTCATTTTAATGTATTCATAAAGTTAATGCCAAAGTTTCACAGTTCAGTCCAACTCTGAGTGCAGTCATGTGATAGTTTACACACATGTTGTATCATGCAAGATAAATGCTGCTTTATACCACAGCCACGGAAAATACAGCTTTTTCATTTTCTGGCAGGTGTTTTTTTTTTAACTTGTATTGCCTCAAACAAAGGTTAACTGACATCCTGAAACAGGATGCTAATTACATTTAACTGCGTGTAACCATGGCAACAGTGCCTCTGCTTATGTGAACCCTCACTGGTGAAACAGACCTAGCTTATGACTCAAAATGAATAGAAACAAACTTTTAAACACAACTTTTTTTTTGCTTGTGTAAAGTGAATGTGAAAGAAACCCTATGATACATACAGATGTGTACCAATATTACATACAGTACAGGCCAAAAGTTTGGACACACCTTCTCATTCAATGTGTTTTCTTTATTTTCATGACTATTTACATTGTAGATTCTCACTGAAGGCATCAAAACTATGAATGAACACATGTGGAGTTATGTACTTAACAAAAAAAGGTGAAATAACTGAAAACATGTTTTATATTCTAGTTTCTTCAAAATAGCCACCCTTTGCTCTGATTACTGCTTTGCACACTCTTGGCATTCTCTCCATGAGCTTCAAGAGGTAGTCACCTGAAATGGTTTCCACTTCACAGGTGTGCCTTATCAGGGTTAATTATTGGAATTTCTTGCTTTATCAATGGGGTTGGGACCATCAGTTGTGTTGTGCAGAAGTCAGGTTAATACACAGCCGACAGCCCTATTGGACAACTGTTAAAATTCATATTATGGCAACGAGTGGCCATCATTACTTTAAGAAATGAAGGTCAGTCAGTCCGGAAAATTGCAAAAACTTTAAATGTGTCCCCAAGTGGAGTCGCAAAAACCATCAAGCACTACAACCAAACTGGCACACATGAGGACCGACCCAGGAAAGGAAGACCAAGAGTCACCTCTGCTTCTGAGGATAAGTTCATCCGAGTCACCAGCCTCAGAAATCGCAAGTTAACAGCAGCTCAGATCAGAGACCAGATGAATGCCACACAGAGTTCTAGCAGCAGACCCATCTCTAGAACAACTGTTAAGAGGAGACTGCGCGAATCAGGCCTTCATGGTCAAATAGCTGCTAGGAAACCACTGCTAAGGAGAGGCAACAAGCAGAAGAGATTTGTTTAGGCCAAGAAACACAAGGAATGGACATTAGACCAGTGGAAATCTGTGCTTTGGTCTGATGAGTCCAAATTTGAGATCTTTGGTTCCAACCGCCGTGTCTTTGTGAGACGCAGAAAAGGTGAACGGATGGATTCCACATGCCTGGTTCCCACTGTGAAGCATGGAGGAGGAGGTGTGATGGTGTGGGGGTGTTTTGCTGGTGACACTGTTGGGGATTTATTCAAAATTGAAGGCACACTGAACCAGCATGGCTACCACAGCATCCTGCAGCGACATGCCATCCCATCCGGTTTGCGTTTAGTTGGACGATCATTTATTTTTCAACAGGACAATGACCCCAAACACACCTCCAGGCTGTGTAAGAGCTATTTGACCAAGAAGGAGAGTGATGGAGTGCTGCGGCAGATGACCTGGCCTCCACAGTCACCGGACCTGAACCCAATCGAGATGGTTTGGGGTGAGCTGGACCGCAGAGTGAAGGCAAAGGGGCCAACAAGTGCTAAACACCTCTGGGAACTCCTTCAAGACTGTTGGAAAACCATTTCAGGTGACTACCTCTTGAAGCTCATTGAGAGAATGCCAAGAGTGTGCAAAGCAGTAATCAGAGCAAAGGGTGGCTATTTTGAAGAAACTAGAATATAAAACATGTTTTCAGTTATTTCACCTTTTTTTGTTAAGTACATAACTCCACATGTGTTCATTCATAGTTTTGATGCCTTCAGTGAGAATCTACAATGTAAATAGTCATGAAAATAAAGAAAACGCATTGAATGAGAAGGTGTGTCCAAACTTTTGGCCTGTACTGTATATGAATTATATCAGAATCAGCTTGTGGTGGCCCCACCTCATCTGGGCGCTGTGGGGGTACATGCCCAAAAATGTCCTGAACGCAAAAAATAAGACGACACCGCCACACACTTCAGGTGGGTCATAAGTGAAGACTGAGAGGGATTACTTCTGCTTGAGTCTAGATTTTCAGTTTTATTTTTAAATAGCCGAAAATATAAAAATTGTTTGGGTTTATTGATTGAGCTGTCGCAGAATTACTATTACCAATCTCACGTGTCACGTTCCCCTCTGTCATCTTTTGACTAACCTCCCCTCCCGCTTGTCTCCCTCTCAGACATAAAGAAAGACAAGCCAAAGAAAAAGTCTCCGATGTCCAAACTGTTTGGCTGGGGGAGCAAGAAGGAGGGATGATGCTCCTCGTACACCGCGCCTGCTACAGTCTTTGATGTTTTATTTTATTGCTTTTTTTTTTTTGCTCCTCTTGTTGTAGTCTTAATGTCAGTGTACTCAGCCTGTGATTCATGGGATAACACTGATAGTCTGTGTGTGTGCGTGTGATCCATCATTCTAAGCGCTTTTAGAAAAATGCCCTTCCCTCTGTCAACTGCATCACTCAAGATCTGACATTACTCGTGCCTGCTAGTGCCACACACACACATGCAAACACACAAACGCACAGACACAGCTGATGTTGAGGGGTTAATGACTCACCAGCCGTGATGTGATTGGGTTCAGTGCTCCACTTGTTAGTTTTAATACCCTTCTAGTCTTAATCTGTCTACTTAATGCTCTCAAACACACACACACACACACGTTCTCCTTATATCTTCTTACATATGCGACATATTGAGATGTTGGTTGTATACAGTACCACTACAGATGCTAATACGGGTTAAAGAACAGAGGTCGGACAGATGCGCCGTGCTCTCTGCTCATGTTTCAGTTCACACTACAAGAACAACTTCAGGGTCACTTTCTGACTCTGATGTTGTCAATTACATGTGTAAATTGCATTTAATCTTAGAGGCCCTTTGAGAAGAACAAGGTTGTTTTTTTTTTTTATAAAATCTTTTCTTGTTATAATAGCGTCATCTAGTCCGGTGGTTTCCAGTTTGAGGTTTATTTATTATGGGATAATTTAGCCAAGGTGGGAACAAGTCTTTGTTTTGCAAGTCAAAAGCAAGTCTTTGCACTTAAGTCCTAATTCATGTCTAAAGTCCTAATCTTTGAATTAAGAGTCTTCAACAAGTCATCATGCGCTCTTCACCAAATGTAATGCCATTTTAACAACAGAGTAAGAATATATAAGATTTACAAAAATGTTAAGGCTTTTATAAAGATTTGTATTTATTTTCATGAAAGTTGTTCCGTCTTCGTCTGTAATTTTTGACCCACACGTTTTGCACACTGCAATTCATTTCGTGTTGACCACTGCATAGATTTTGAGTGAGCAAAATAGCTTTGGTATCATTTTCTTCAGCTGACGCTCAGTAACGTAACGATTGTTCTTCCTGCAGCTCCTCTGCAGCTTGATTGGACCCTGTCAGATTGGTTCAAAGTGGATGTGGAGAATGAGGTGTTGACTTGTTTGAAATGATTAGCATTAGCTTTAGTTGATTCAGGAAATCGGGGGGAAATAAATTGATTTTTGAAACATTTTTTAAGTAATATAATTTTTAATCTGTAGGCTTGGGGGAGGGGATCAAGTATTTTCAGGTCAAAAGGCTCAAGTCTGATTTAAAATATGAGTCATTGGTGTTAATCCAAGTGGAGTTGCAAGTCTTTTTGACTTGGTTGAGTCCAAAGTCATCAGATTTGTGACTCGAGTCCACACCTCTCAAATTTAGAGTCTAAGATATAATCACTCTGCAGCTGAATGTGTCACAGCCTGTATGCAGGCATAAGTTTGTTTTTTGAAACCATAGTTCTTGAAAAACACTCGTGCACACAGCATTTCACTCTTGACCTTTGGGAAACATATATCCTGAAGGTTTACTCTCTAAGTTAGAGCTTTCAACTGCATATTTAGGTTTGAAAATCAGCGACTGTGATTCTTCCTGAATGAAGCGAAAAGCTCTGAATCATCAATAACTGCACCTCTGAGCTTATAGTGTCTCCAAATAATGCATTTATGAGTGAAAGCAGTCACTGGATGTCATGTCATGTTTTACTGTCCTATCCAATCATGTTCTGTTGGACTTGAATATGCAGTTTGTGGTTTTATATCTGGTCTGCGTCACGTGACTCGAATAGATTAATCACTCAAACTAAAAGTTTGAGTAGACTGGATGATTGTGAGTGTTAGGAATATAAGATCTGGTCCATATTGGATCTTTGTATTTTTTAAATCTTTCTTTTGCTGAATTAACTGTTTAGCTTGTCTGCGTCATAATCTATAACTCTAGAGGCACTGAGGCAAACTTTTAATGTCTGTGTTGTGACCCAAAGTGCTCAATTTCAACACAAAATGTAACTCTGTATATATGTTTGTGTTCTTGTCCCTTTTATTCTCCTCTAGCTTAGCTGTATATATTGTATAAAGTTGGTACTTAACAGCAGTCTGATTATTAAATGGAGAAACAGGCCTGGATGTTTTAACAGATTACTGTAATAAATCTACTGAAATTTTAATAAAATGACAACATCATGAATTGATCATGGCTCTCTGATATTTACTCATATGGAAGTAGAATTTAATGCTGCATGTTATTATTGTTAAACTATCTTAATTTAATGCAATTCACCTGACAGTAGCTCCTGCAGAGCAGTGGTGGTCGCATGTGGTTGTCATATTAATTACCTAAATGTTCGATAGCCTAAACTAGGGCTTTTATTTTGGTAGTTTTATTCATGCACTGTAATGTTTTGATCATATTTGGCCCATATAGATTCATCACTGGTCTCAGAAAACAGTTGCAGTTGCAGTGAAAATGTATTTTCTCTGTGGAAACACCAGGAGGCAGCATGAGACTTTCCATGTCACTGGAGCTCCCAGAGTGCAAATCTCTTTGTATCTTTTGGTCTGTAGAGCTGAGAATACACTAAAGGTCCAATCTGAACACAGAATAATAGACACATAGATACATTTTATATGTATATCCCAAAAGAAGTAAAGTTTTCCTTTTATTCTCACTAATGCAGAACGGCATCACAATCCTCACTCTCCCACTTTATTACCACTTCTCTAGTGAAACTATTACATAATACACAAACTGTAATGTTACACATATCTCTTTTTCTCTTGTGTCAGGAATGAGTAAAATTCCAATAAAACACAGAATCCGATGGACTTTAATAATCAGAAATAATCTTTAAGTCCTCTTTTGCTTTAGCAAAGTGTGTGCTGCAGAGGCTTCCTATTTTCTGCACTTCAGATACTTACTTCTGCAATAACAGAGTGAGGATGAAACATGCCAATTTCATAACCAGATGTTCAAAGCCAGTTTCAAGTCATGTCAGGTCAGGTAGCTTAAAATTACAAATCACAAATTTGCCTCAAAGGGCTTTAAAATCTGCACAGCGTACGACAGCCCTATTATCCTTTTTTTCCTTTTTGTTTCTCAAGTATAACACATCAAAAACACCTTTTTGCAAAGGGACAAGATTTTTTTTTAGCAAGAATATAAAAGTTATGATGCTGAAGTAGGAAAGGAGAAAGTAGAAACAAAAATAACTTAGAAATAAGAAGATCTTATTTGTTTCCTAACTGGATATCATTTCATTTTTGGTCCCCCTTTTTTAATAAAAATCATCTTACTGCCATCACTACAGCTGAGAGTCCCTAGAATCACCATAACCCTTTACCATACAAATCAATTATTAAATCAGTTTTTTTGTTTTTGTTTTATTTTTAAGATTCAAGACACAGAAAATGCTGTAATTTAGATAAATATGTTTCCGCTGAACCTCTGCATGTATAAAATATAGGTTTGTCTAAAACATTTCAAGCATGTACTTAGAACATTTGAAGATTTGTGACCAAAAACCGAGCAGTCCATCATCTTGTCATCCTACCTGTAAAAGCCACAGGTGAAGAATAAGCATGCAGCTGTTAATCTCCTGCAACACAACCACAGAATCACTGAGCTCTGAGCGTCACACATGCACACACAACACTGTCTCTCTGCTACACTTAAAATATCCATACACGGTAGCAAAGAGGAAAAGAGAGGAATACTACAATAAAGAAGAAAAGAGCAGGAAAATTGACTTTTAGCTCTAAGTTGTTTTTTTTTATATATATCTTTGGTGTGAAAATACAAAACTGTGTAATCTCCCCCTCTCTAAAGGCAACATCTGTTCCTGTTGTTATGTGTGAAAGTGTTTGTTGATTCCTTCCTAAAACCATGATAAAATGTTCCATCACCGCACCGCTGTGTGTCTGAATCAATCACGTCTCCGCTAAACTTTGGAACATGTTTATCTTTGGGGCAAAAACGTGCCTTTAAGTCGACTCTGTAAGGTACATTTATAATGTGGCAGAGTGCTGTTTCAGCGCAGACTGTAAATATACCTTTGAGGTGGTTCATTTACATAACACAGTGGGCCCTCACATATTATTCACACAGACTTTTAAACAGTTTAGTGAGTTTTCGGTGAGGCTCGACGCCGTCCTGACATAATGTGATTCAACCATTCACAGCTCATATCTGTTAAATCCATGTTAAAAAAAAGTATAGAGTCGACATTAACATACACTCAACCTGTTTGTATTGTTGTTTCACACGCCTTTATACTCTTCTCCTCACTGCTTTAACGTTTCAAAGGAAGCTGTGTTCATAATTTGACACACTGCACACTTCCCACTATTTCTCTTCATCCCTTTACCAGTGTTCAGCGTGGTCTTTCACACACTGCAGATTTTATGGTGTCTTCAAGTCACCTCAAGTTAACTTCCTGTTTTTATTCATCACTTTAGTTGTTTAACATTTTCTTTCTCCTGGTACGTGCATCGATTGTTTTATTTTCCACTTGGGGGCAGCACGAACCACACGCTGAAGACACAAAATTATCACCTTATAGAACTGATATACTAAAAATGTTTTAGCAAGTTGTCTATGTACACATCCAGCAGACAAGGAGCAACATTAATATTTGTTTGGTGTCATGTTTGCGTCCATTTAAAGGACAGTGTGTAATATTTAGGGAGATTCAGTGGCACCTTGTGGTGACCTGCTACCTATGTAGACATAAACATCTTATTCTAAGGTAATGAAAACTCAGCTAGTCTTATTTTCAGGTGATTATACACTAAAAGAAGCTCTTGTTCACCAACTATGAATTATTTTTACCAGGGTTTATTCATTGAAACTAAGCAAAGGACATGGGAGTGCTGAGACTGAACTAAAACTTTGTGATTTGTGCAGCTTCAAAATATAGAAAACACAAATTCATGAGCCACCTCTATGTAGACACGTCTGACTCTGTGCAGGTTTGTTCAGGGGTTGTTTCTTGTACACTGGGCTATGGGCCAAAATGTGTTTCCCAGTTTGGCGTGCGACTACGTGACTGGCCTGCACGGAGACCCCCCAACCCAATTTGACACTTTTGGGATGAGCTGTGACAGCGTCTATGAGCCAGGTCTTACTGCCCTACATCAGTGTTCGACCTCACTAATGCTCTTGTAACTGAATGGGTGCAGAGCCCTGCAGCCGGGGTCCAACACCTTGTGTAAAGAGTGAAACCAGAAGAGAGGAGGCTGTTAAAGCAGCAGATTAATGGTACTAAATGAAATGTTGAACCATCACATATGGGTGTGATTTTTTGGTGTCCACATAGCCATGTAGTTGTGTCTTGTGCCGTAAAGAAACATGTATTTGGGCAATTTATTCTCCAGCAGGAAAACATGAAATCTATTGTACAAAATTCAGAAAGTGCTCTTTTTTTATTTTTATTTTTTTTTCCAATTTTTTATTTATTCATCTATTCAGTCAAATCTGACCAAACAGACAGCATTGTTATTGGAGCTCAACCTATCCACAGGCACCTGGTACCTACACATTCTTATACCCATAATAGTAATTTAGCAACCCAGCTGTACAACTAAACACAAAATCATTACAAACATAAAAGCCTGCCAATGACCTCTTAAAGCTTTCAATTTCATTGCTGACCCTAGCCAACGTGTTCATATGACACAATTTCTAACACTGATTCTTTCATTTTTCAAAATCTGGAGGTGATGTACTCAAGAATTTGAGGATCATGCGAGCAGCTGTGACGACCCCTACATTTATCACAACAAGGTCATATTTTGATACATTCCGTAATTCTGTGTGGTCCTCCATAATAAGGCATTATATTGGTGATTTAGGTGTCGTCATACCCGACCACTTCTCTATGTGATACTCAACTTTTTCCCATAATGGATTAACCAGTTTACATTCCCAGATTGCATGTAGAAGTGTTCCTGTTTCTGTCTGACATTTCCAATATAAATTATGAGCCAGTAGACACATCTTGTACAACTCAGAAGGAGTAAAGTAAAACCTATGAATTATTTATACTGAGTAAATTTCCCCCTTGCCTCCTTTATATATTTCCCAGTATTTCATAGTATTTTCAACCATTCCACATTGTTTAATTCCCACCCTAGGTCCTTCTGCCAGGTGATCCTCAGATTTTTACAAATGTATTTTGGTAACCCACTAAAGATTTTGTAGAACATCGCTGCCCTGTGTGCTATGCCAAGTAACTCCAAAAACTTGAATACTGGGTTATCTTGAATGAATTGGCCTTCAGTGATACAGCTTCTGATTTCTAAATACTTTCAATAATTACCTTTATAGTCCAGAATGTATTTTTGCATGTGTTCTGAAAAAGACAAACCCTCTTGTTTTTAAATCACACTTAGTACTAAAGTTAATCCTCCTAAATTCATGAATTACTTGTGCGTGGCTTGACTACTTCCATTTCCTGCTAACTTCTAATACACCAAATTTCAGCAGGGAATACTGCACTGCATTTATTTAATACCCTATACCAAACAAATGAATATTTCATATTATAGATTAAGATAAAACTACTAAAACTCACAAACTCCTCATTAGGAAAGGTATTTATAGTAGTTGAATACCAGCTTCATTATTAAAGTTATGAACACATTAGATGCATCAGTAATTGCAGTCCAATAATGTGCATTATTCTGAAATGGGCCATTCTGCATAATGAAAACTTAGTTGTATTTAGAAGTCAATACTTCTGTGCTTCTACTTAATGTTGACTTGTAAGTATTTCTATGGTCGACTGTAGTATTACTACTTTCACTGAATTAAAGGATGTGAGTGCTTCTTCCACCACTGTTGTATTGGTATGGCAAGGTGCTTTACTGGAACTGCATATATTAAAATAAATGTTGTACTTAACTAAACCAACACTTTACACTGTAGATCAGTAGTTCCTAACTGGTGGGTCCCAGTCCAAAAGTGGGTCCCAAGTCCACTCTGAATGGACAGCAAGTGACTTGCGAACATGTCAAGTTTGTAAAAAACACACTTTATTTTGAAGAACAGTGAATTTCTGGCACAGAGCTTTTACTTTAGAGTGCCGTACCCTGCTGTAGAGACAACAAACTAGCCCAACGACATGGCCAAACACAGGTATGACGCTGAATACATTGACCTGTGTGGACCTTGAACAAATGACTAAGGAGAAAT